AAAAAAAAAAAAAAAAAAGGAACAAAGGAGTAGAAAATAAAACAATCCAAATGCTTCAAAGAAAGCCGAGCAAGAAATTCCCAGATACAAACCAGCGCACCGGAAGGGACTGGAAACCTTGGGTATCCCTGCGATCCGACTAATCCGTCGAAAAAAGCAAAAAATAAAAATAAATTAGAGGAAAACCAGTTCACTTGCAGCTGCAGTTCTTAAAGCGGGGCGAAAGGTATTTGGGTTCTCAAAAAGGGTCTCCACTGGGGTAGGAGATATTCAGTGGGAGAAACGACCCTGCTTTGGGACCCTTGAGATGGTGAAATTCCTGCGCATCATCCGTAGGGGGTTTTGCCTCCCTTTCCACAGCACCGGGGAAACCGCTAAAGATGCACAACCCATAGATCCATACATACTTGGAGGAAGCAAAAGAAACGATACCTGATGGGTAACGGTACTTCCCCATTGAAGTGCCGCCACCTCGCGTGCCAATTTGCCCGCTTCGGGGATGCTCCACTACGAAACACTCCCTCAATCAATGAGGTAGTATGAGTCTCCATCCGTAAAGTATTCCCATCCTACTCGAGAGGAGAACCATGAACTGTGAACAACCACTCAATGCTGCTCCCCCCTCTCACTTCCCCTAGAGTATAGTAATTATGATAAAGAAAAGACATAATCCCCCTTACCCCATTAATATACAGTCAATCAATCTCAATCATCCATTCGTCATCACTGACTGACATGGGTGTTTCATCGTGAGCCACGTTGACAGTTGACATCTCCAAAAACACCCCCCAAAACACTCGTATTCGTAAGGGACAGAACCAGCCCTACGTATAATACACCCTCTCCCCTGTTCAAACTTCAGTTTCCCGTCAAGTCCCGGATTCCGGAACTAGTGGCTGGTTTGAGGCGCTCTACTAGACACTTTGCAGCTTTAGTCCAGCATATAACGCCCTACACCACGACGGTCGACGCCATAGGACTAGATTCATGAACGCTTGGATCCCCTGTGTGCATTTATACATATTCTTATGCACAAAAGCACTCAGATCCATCCTTAATGCCGTATCTCATGCACCGGCCACTACCGGCCTTCCGTTTTGGGTTAAAATTAGAACCTGAGGCGCCAGAGATCTCAAACGCCCCCTGAAATGCCTACTCACTCACATTCAATACCCATCACAGGATTGAATGAGATGGCAAGAACAACTCAAAGATTGATTGACAATCATACCAAACGGTGCAATTTCCACGATCGTCAAATATCCCCATCATGACAACCCCCCACCCCTTTTTCATTCCCTTTCAGCCTGCCAAGCAGACCGGGTACCCACTTAAAGCCGTTGTCCCTCGCCTCCGACTCCTAGCCCATTTCGAATCCAGTGTCCTTGGCGAAGCGAACAACTGGATGCGCCCCGGCGACCTGTCACGACTCGAATGAGTGCTGCCTAATGCCATTTGTCTTGGCGAGGGAATACGATCTTCACCGTTCTTTGTGATCGTGAGGGAACAGAGTAGCGTTTTGAAAGCCTGAACCTCAAAAACAGTGGAAGACTTGATTAGTAACCCCCCGGAAGTGGTCAGTCACCTGATCAATTCCATTCGCCCCGAAGGACCAAACCAATCAATATCGACAATCCGAGGTGTCAGGACTCAGTAGACGTTTAAACCACATGAATGAAACTACTGGATTGTATGTTGCTTACGGAATGGGTAGGTTTCCTATGTTTCCTGTGATAGAGCTTTAGATGAGATCATCTGTCAAAGACAATGAGTTTCTAGCCACGGAGATATATATATGTGAGCCACGTCGGATGACTCCGCGGGAGACATCCCTACAGATATACCTAAATAATCAATCTCGGTCACTAGTATGAACCTCCCTCAGTGCCTACGAGGGAAATGATACCTATTTTCTACGGGGCACCGCCGCCCTTCACCCGGCAAGTCTGGGAATCATACATGACGGCGACACACCGGCACTAGGCAGAGCCTGAAAGGGATGATTAGGCATTATTATCCTGGGATCCTTTGTGTATTGGCATTCATTTACTTTTGCGCAGCCAAAGTCTATCCACACATGTCATATCTATGTTCGGTTCCGTCTCGCGTGCCTTGATGCGCCCTTCTATACGGCCGGTCGCCAGCGGATGGAAGGGGGTGCGCCAACAGCGGTGATCAATCAGCAAGTGGTGCACCACCTCACCAGCATCCTCGCAGAGCAACCAGGGGAAACAGAAACGCCATTAGCGACACGCGAAAACCAAAAGAAATCTCGTTCTACATGAATTTTGCCAGGTCATGTCGACAATCGAAAAGAAGGAAGAAAGAAAAACGGGTGGGGCATCGTAATGATAAAAAACAAAAAGCAACCGAGCGCACAACATCATTGAATTTGGTTCATAGGTATTGGCATCAGTCTGCATATGCGAGAGCTGTGTTCAATGATAATATAGAAAGAATATTAAGGATGAGGGAATAGCCGATGCAACGGGAGCGAAGCATTTACTGCTTATCAGCGGCGGGAGCTTCATCCTGAGCAGGAGCATCCGGCATCGTCTCATTCCGCTCTTCAAAGTTCATAGCAGCGGCCGCGGCCTTCTTGGCCTGCTCTTCAGCCGCACGCTTGGCTTCTTCCTCCGCGCGCTTCTTGGCGAGCTCTTCAGCCAGAGCTTGCTGGCGCTCGTCCTCAAGGGTCTCCTCGAATGGCTGCACAAGCTTCTTGATCTCCTGGAGCTTGGCAGCATAAACATCGAGAGTGGTGTCAGCACCGCCCTCATCATCGTACAGCCAGTTCTACACAATCAAAGTTAGCACGGGCACGGACTCTGAACAGACATGGCGGTCTAGCCAAAAAGGAGTATGAACATACCTCGAGCTCATCCAGCTTGTCATCGAAGGCCTGCTTCTTCGCCTCATCTTCGAGGAATCTTGCGTAGCGACCATATTTCCGGTCACGCATATCATAAATCGTGGTTTCAAGCTCGTTCTTCTTCTCGTCGGTCTCGGCGATGGTCTTATCATGCAGATACATGGCCTTCTCGCCCTCGATCCAGGCTTCCTTGACGGATGGCTCAATGGCAGGGGTGCCGGCGGAGATGGGCAGGTCACCCTTGCGAACCTGCTTCTTGACCTTGCGGGTCTTCTTGGGCTGCTCGTCACCCTTGGCATCGGTGTCCATGGCCTAAATCACATGTTAGTAAAAGAAAAGTGCATGCATTACGGTGGGGATCCAGCTTACATCACCATCCTCCTCGACGGGCTCCTCTACTTCCATGTCCTCGACGTAGTAGCCAGACTCGACGTTGAGGATACCGTGCAAGTTCAGGCGGGCCTTGAGCTTGCAAATCATGAAGTCATCGTTGGCATCGGCCTTGACGCCCTTGACGGAGAAGCGGCCAACCCAGGGGTTGGTCTTTCCAGGAAGCATCTCGGGGTTGGCGTAACGAGCTTCGAGATCGAAAGGCTGCTTGCGGTAGAAAGTGAGAATCTTGGTCGATGGCATGACATTGCCACGACCGAAGACGGTCAGGCTGGTATCCTCATCGGGGATATCTGCGGACTGCTCCCAGGTGAACTCGATGGGGTAGTTGACAATGTCGTGAACGGAGAAGTCACGGACACGGAAGACGGGGGAGAGGATAGCACAGCTGAAGGCACTACCACGAGCGATGGCCTCATCTTGGTTCAGGGTGAAAGAAAGGGTCTTGCCGAAGAACTTGGCAATGGCTTCCTTGATGGCAGGGACACGAGTGCAGCCACCAACCATCTCAATGCTGTCAATATCCTCGGCCTTGAGCTTGGCCTCGGCAAGGGCCTGCTCGATGGGAACGAGGACGCGCTCGAGGAGAGGCTGAACCATGGTCTCCAGCTCCTCACGCTTGACAATGGCGCGGACATCGACGTCCTCCATGAGGGACTCAATGCTCATGGGGGCAGCAGGGTTTGCTGAAAGGACCTTCTTCATCTTCTCAGCGGCGGCGAGGGTACGGGCCCAAGCCTTGGCGTTGGTACGGACATCGATCTTGAACTTCTCCTTGAACTCGTTGGCGAAATGCTCAGTGAGGGCAAGATCGAAGTTACGGCCACCGAAGTGGCGGTCGCAGGCGGTGGCCTTGACGTTCAGTTCACCCTTGCGGAACTCAACAATCGAAGCGGTGTAGTCGCTGTGTCCGATATCAACGAACATGACGCGGCGAGGCTTCTCCTCGGGACCGGGCAGATCGAGCTTGGTGATACCATATCCGAGAGCGGTGGCGGTGGTGTCGTTGATCAGTCTCAGCACCTTGAGACCGGCAATCTCACCGGCGTCAAGCATGGCCCGGCGCTGAATATCGGTGAACCAGGCGGGAACGCTGATGGTGACATCGGAAACGGGGATTTGGAGTTCGTTGGCGGTGATATCTCTGATCTTGGTCAGGTACATGGCGACCAGCTGAGTGGCCGAGAACTTCTGCTTCTGCTGACGGAAGTTGACCTCGACACCGGCCTGGCCATTCACATCGCAGAGGGTGGCAGTGTTGAAGCTCTGCTCGATCTGAACATCGGGGTCGCTGAATGAGCGGCCAATCAAGCGCTTGAGGTTTGCAACGGTGTTCTTCAAGTTGGAGGTCTCTCGTGTCTTAGCAGCCTCACCAAGATATCTACATTTGTTGTCGAATGAGACCAGGGAGCTGAATATCACACACAGTCAGTATAGGATCGCTAAATGAAGAGAACCATGCCGTCCAAGGTCGTTGTTGGCTGGGGTGGAGTGGGGTATTAACAGAAGGGTGGACATACGGAGTAGATCTGTTGGAAACTTCGTTGGTAATCTAAATTGAGTCGCACCGACAGTTAGTCTTTGAATTTCAATGGTCAAGAAAAACGGGGGGTTGATAGAAAAAAAAATAACATAAAAAAGGAAGCGCTGAAGGCGGGGAAGGCATGATACGCACAATGTCGATACCCTTATTACGGGCGACACCAATCTTGGTGCTCTGGGCACCGAAGTCGATTCCGACAACACTCATGGTGAAAAGGGATATAGGTGTGATAGGAGGAGGTAGGGTGGGAGGGAAGAAAAAGTGATGGAGGAGAAGGAGGAGGTGTAATGGATGGGAAGTGGTATCACAAAAGTTAGGATGAAAAGATTTGGGGAGCGAAGAAAGAGGGCTGGAGGGGGAGAATTTGCACGTTGAAAAGCGCCACTATCGGGCGGTGATGCAAACTGTGGCTCAGGTAAGAAAATCGAAAAAGTAAAAAAAAATTTAAAAAATTTAAAAAATTTAAAAAAATTCCAGACGTGGGCTTCTCTCGCTGGTCACTTGAGATCCACTATCAACCTTTCTACTGCGTAGTTTTATACGATCAGATCAAAACCGGATTTAAAGGAGAAAAGACGAGGGGAAGGAAGAGGTGGTATGAATCTATATATAGGATGAACCCATTCCTTTCAAGAATTCCAATCCTAGTCATCTGGCGATACCTCATGCTTTCCCCAAGCCGTAAAGCACAGCACAACTCCGTTTGGGCTCCGATGGCGCTGACCTTTGGAACCTTCGAGCGCTTACCACTCGATTCTTCCCCCGCTCACCGCCTGTGGTGGGCCAGGGCAATATCCTTGACCGCCTTCCGCGGGGTTTGCTTCTTCTCCTTCTTCCGCTTGCTTCTTGCCTCAAGCTCTTATCGATAATCCACCACTCAGAGATTTCACGGCCCCGGGGTACGCCCATTGGGTGCCTGAGAGTCTTGGCCACCCCCGGCCTTCACGTAACAGTTACCTAATGTCACCCCAATGATTGGAGAATTAGGAATCAATTTCTCCAAAAAGGTACCGTTTGCTACTCATGTGCAGCGGCTACACATGTGCCCGATGAGTAATGACCTGTCTTAATCTCTCAATAGTCACCGACTATCGGCAGAGGAGGACAAAGGAGAACCGGTGAGATAATGATATCCATTGTAGGCCGGCATATCTAGAGTATGGTCAAGGGGACAGGACCTCAAGAACACAAGGTAAGAATATAGCAAAAGAAGAATGACTGTATTTATCCAACACCCTCCAGAGCTTCTCTCTCTCCCTCTCTGATTAACATACGTCGTAAACTTGTCCCACCTCCCAACCTCCCAACGGTATCCAAGATGCGAAAATGTCGTGCTATGATGGCCCTCATGGAAAATGGACCCCCGCCCACCGACTCTGTCCTTGTGATGTCACACCATGTACTCAGGGCTCCTTGACTGTGATGCTTGTCTCGGTGTCTTTTGTAGGCGCCGAGCCCGAGACGGTCGAAGACTGCGATGATTCCCCGTCATTATACCTAGCTCAACTGACTGTTGAGCATATGCAGACTGCGGCGCTCCTTGAGGCTGCCTGAGCGGCATGCAGTGAACGGTGTCATCTCTCAGTACGGAGACAAAGGCAGGGGCACCTCGAGATTGCTCCGATGCAACATGTGTCACGGGACCATTAGATTGTAGCCTCGCTGAGCCTTGCGTATGGATATCGCCATCGTCGGGGTCCGTGGCGAATTGTTGAAGAATACTTGTGAGTTCTTGCGCTTGGAAAGCCATTAAACGCTTCGCTCGATCTTCTTCGTTCCTCAAGCTCTCCACGTCCAAGGGTAACGATATGGAGTTGCTGCTAGAGTCCGTGACCACAGAGTCAGAAGAGCATTTCGGATGCAAGCCGATTCGAGGAACATCCAGGGGCGAGGTCGTTAGACTAGCAAGTGGTACCATCGCCTCATCATGATTGGCAAAGTAGCTGCCGCAAGGCCCTGGTAACCCAGAAAGACGGCGATCGATCTGTTCTGAAGCGCGATTGGAGCACCCTTTCTTGTCGGCCTTGGCTCGAAAGGTATCAACCATGACATTGAGCTCATCACCCTGCGCTCGAGCCTGCTCAACAGCTTCCTCGGGCGATGTATGCTCATCGGCTTTTGCAGCGTCAGCTCGTGGCCCTCCCCAGGTTCGCTGTCCCGCGGTGAAAATCCCATACACCATATATAACCAATTAAAGAATGGGTTGAGAACGAACATCAGCGGATACAGCCAGGCTTTGTATCGCTTCAATCGGATCCCGAAATAGAACATGAGCACGTAATTCAGCCCCAGCGATACCGCGATGAATCCAACGGGGAGATCTGCGACCCGACTGGATGTTGTCATGAGGGCAATCACCTGAACGAAGAAGAGTAGAGCAGTTGTGCGGATAGTATTCTGCATGAGGCGGACCAAACACAGGAAGGGATACCGCCTCCACAGTCGGACGTCTGTCAACATGCATGCCTCGTTTGTAATGTAGCCAAGGAACCATCGGCGTCGTTGCTTCAAGAGAGTGCGGAAGGTCTGGGCCGCCTCCGTTTTGCAGAACGCGCTGGTACACATTTGGATCTGATAGCGCTCCTTCGCCCCGATCATAAAGAGATGCGTGAGCCACCGGTCTTCCCCCAAGTGGCATTTGGCATAGTCAAATAGATCTTCGCATTGCTCCGCTTTGTCTGCAAAGTAGTGCTTCGCCATCTTTCGAAAAGCAGAAAATCGCAGGATCGTCAATGCGCCGGGCAGACAGGTCACAGCGCCGCACCCCGATTCCACAGAACGCTCGAAAAGCTGGCCATGAATGTATTCCAAGTCTTGTAACAACGTGATGAGACTGTTCTTTTCTGTAGTTGACGTGATGATCCCAGTCATGGCTAACATGCTATGTTTACTCCCCGGTTTCAGCTCCATATCATACATAAAATTCTGCAGACACAGTCGGTCCAGGATGCAATCGGAATCGATGAATAACATAAAAAGATCATCGTGTTTCCTGTTGTACTCTTCATATACTTGACTAATCAACTTGAATGTTAACTTCTGGCAATGTCGCTTGCCGCCATGCTTGAATCGAGACAAGGTGATCCTAGCGCCCCTATACGTCACATCTATACTCTGCGGATAAGTATCCAGGGAAATCGGTATTCCAAGATGGTGGATCACTTGAAGGTAGGGCTCGTCAATATTGACCCCATCGTATGATAAGAATACATGAATACAATTCGATGGGTAGTCACTATCGACAACCGAATTGATCGCTTTTATCAGGACTGCAGGGTTCTCCTTATATACCGGCATAACAATCACAGTCTTCGGTGCCGTCCGGTCGTCCAAAACATCCTTTATTCTCTGCGTTCTTCCGATGGAGCTCGTGACCAGTCTATGAACGCAGAACAACCAGGGGATGATGAGTAAGGCTGAAAACGTCCAAAATGCGAACCACTGGAGGAATGTGACGAGCTCCGGAGGGTAGTTCTGAGTGAGTTGAGGCGGTAAGGGGAGGGTGACAACCATAATGGGGAGAAAAATTCCCCTGTACCGATCAGTATGCTCTAGTCGCTCATACTTTCTCGCAGTGTGTTTCATGGCCCAACTTACCTTAATAAGGTGAAGATTGTCATCATTGCCACAGCAAGGACCTTGATACTCCAGTGCTCGGCTTTTCGGAACACCTTTACGAGACAATATAAGAATGCAGCGAGAAAGAGAAACCATTCCACAAAGGCTGCCAGCATTAACGGACCAATAATCGATACGCAAACTATCTGTATACCTGTTAAATGTGGTGTTCGCATTTGTATTCCCAAATAGCCCGACTCACATCTTTCACTGTCCATGGCCTGGGCACGCCCTGATTGACACTCCCCGCCATAGCACAACGGCGTCCGAGATAAACGCGGTATCGCTGGCTCAGTGTCGTTAGACCGCGGGGTGTCAAAAATGCTCAGTTACTGCTCACTAAATGTTGTACCAGACGAAAATTGAAGCAATCGCATGTGTGTAGAACCGCAACGGGGGCCTTTTATTGTGCAGATCGTCGCCAATCGAACAGCGACATGGCCGTTGTACGTAGCTTTTTGTTGTCAAGTTGTGGATTGCAGTGGTACAGTTGGTCGCTTTCAAGTTGCCAATCTCTGTTTGTGGCCAATCTCGTTTGCAGTCGAGTACAGCAGGCTTGCTCTTAAACCGATGGCATTCTTCGTCGCATATGTGAGACCTCAGGCGCGAATTTGGGCTGGTTAGCAATACACTCTATTGGAATGATACCCTTATCCACCAGAACAATACGGACTCTATGCATGTCGAGAACATAGGGCGAGTGTAAAGAATGAATGGAAAATCATGATCGTAGTCCAGAAGAGGAAGGCGCAGATTTTAGGTGTGGAGTGAATGTGTAGTACCACTGTGCGCCTGAGGCAATGACCCTCCTGCGATACCCCATGACAACTACAGTCACGCTCCCCAGGATTTGTACGGGAGAACTCCATTGATTTGTATTTGATCAAAGTCAGTACAGTTATGTCCTAAGCCACCGGCAGATACCTTCCATCGGGGTCATATCCAACAGATGATGACATACACGCTGTACAACATTAAGACGGGAGCTAGAGACTGTGATCTAATGAAATATCGGGCAGAATATCTCTACGCAAAGATAGCTTGTCCAAATTCCAGGCGTGTCGACACTCTCAGTAGTCACAGAGGTCATTGGCGACAAAAGTCGGATTAAAGCTGGGCTGTATGTTCAAACATATCTCCGCTCAGATGGCCTCAACTCCATTACTAGTGCTCTGGTGTCAATACTGACGAGATAACATTCCAGGAATTATATACTATATACATCCAAATATCTAAAACAGCACCGCAATTCCATCACGATAGATCAACGTTAACGTTAACAAAAGGTACAACCCTCACCACCCCAATCAAACCATTATCAACCGGGTCTGGACCCGACCCCTCAAGCTTGGGTAATGAACCAGCCGAGTAAAGCTCATCCAACATAGTCCGAATATAGTTCCACATAGTCGATGGTACTTCCACAGTCAATTTATTCTCCCCGGAGACAAGATAGGCACTGAGGTCGAGCTTCGGCGCTTGGAAGTCGAAAGCTGGGAGTCTGTGGCCGTTAACATATACACGGGCTGCGTTTGTGGTTTGCGGGAGGAACAGGTAGGCGCCGTCTGCCGTGTTGGTTGTCGGGGGCCATGATATGGTGGTGGTGTAGTAGCCAACTCCGGAGGCGTTGGCGATGGCGGGGATTTCTTGCCAGGATATGAGAGAGGTGAGCTCGTGGGTTGTGTTGTGCTTGACTGCAATTATTGATGCGTCGGATAGATTGTCTGGGCGTTCCCAGTGTTCGACTGTCAAGGTCCAATTGGTGAGCTGGTATGCTGGGGCAGGATCCCTGGTTGTTAGTTGGGATATGGTTTTCCCGTTGGATAAGCCCAGGTTCTGGTCGGTTGAACTGGATGAGACGTGCAGTTGGACATTGTTGGTTTGATTGCCGTAATTGTAGCCAATTACTGAGGAGGGTACCTGAGTAGCATGGAGTAAGGTATTGCTAGGCTTGCCAGTGAAACCAATGATAGCTGTTTGATTCGCGGCCAGACGAAGGGGCACCACGGTTTGGCCAGACCTTTGTTGGTACTCAAGAACGGGGGTTCGACTCCCAGTCCAAGGATCGAAGAAATATGGGCGCTTTGTCGTGGCAACACTTAGGTTACCCGCAGTATCCACTGTATCGCCCAAGACGAAAAGATAGTCGACCCCATCAGCGTCAGAGTGCCATGTAGAATACCATGTGCCATTAGCCTGCACTTGCACCCGCGGCGCAATGCCTAGCGATTGCAGCTTTCTGGATGCTTGACCATAAGATACAATGTGGATGTTATGCACTTCTTGCAAGGAAGATATCTCCTTCACGAGACTATCTGTGTTTCTATCCCCTGTGTAGAACGCATTTGGTAGCCCACCAGACAGAATTACAGGCAAGCCATTACGAGCGAACTTCTTGATATCTCTCACTGCATCGATGGTGAGGTTGCTTGAGCTGGGAATGATCATTGCACGGAATCCCGGACCATCAGGAGCAAGCGTGCCATTCCTAACACGAGCCTGCGGTAAAGCAAAGTTATCTGGCGAGAGATAGACGTATGTGAATCCTACACATTATTAGCATGCGAAGCTTATTCAACATCTAGCATCAATATAGCCAACTTACCTTCCTCAATTAGATCAGTTTCGTTGTAAATTGTGCCGAACTGCGCATCAGTGGCTGAGGCCTTGTTATAGATGACTACGTCCAATTTAGGTTGTCCCTTCTGCTGAGTATATTGCAACCGAGCCACATAGTTCAAAGCCTCCGAAAAGCCATGGTTCCAGGAAGGCTGCTTTTCAGAGTACAATTCGGAGAACAGATAGTGGAATGGTATATTACCCGGCCACGTTGTACCGACATAGTTTCCGGAGAATGTCTGTCCGTGAAGGACGAACTGGTTGACGCCTCCAGCAACAGCCCGAGCGATCTCCCACAGAAGCGCTGTAACTGGATGCTGGAATGCCTTGTTGATGACTGCACCCATTTCGTTGGAGATCACACGTTTGCCGGCGAGAGCAGCGGGTCCAACGAATTGACGATACCCGTCGATGCTGTCACTGAACGCCAGGCTTTCACATTCCGGTGCATTCACGTCCGGGACATTTGCCAGTACATCGAGATTCAGGTTGTAGCCCACTTGGGAAGAGTATTGTAGATTCATGTCATTCACCCATTGTGTCAACCCCTGCAAGTATGCCCGGTACCCCTCTCCTAACGCAGCCCGATAGTCGTTGATGTACCCGTTGCCCTGATCGGGGGTATCCAACAGACACTGGATAGTACCAGGAGCAGTCGACTGTACACCTATGTTGTTGTTCTTGTAAATTATAAGTGGAAGATATTTTTTGATGCTGTAGCCATGCTTCTTCTGGAAGATGTTAGGAAGACCCGGCGTCCAGGAGACATTGGACGTGATCTCCATGCTATCCTCCCAGCCTGCGCCTAGTTAGCCTCTCCTTTTTATTTGATAACTGAGTATGACCAACTTACCATAATTACCTACCTCGACAAGCATCTGTTTGATCTCGTCTTCAAGGATATACTGATCCCAGAATCGAGTAACAGTTTCCGCACCCTTTGCACTGAAATGGTCCACGGCATAAGATCCACCATTAAAGATTGTCCCCGACACGTTAAAAGTACTTGGTATATTTTGATGCAACGTCTGATGTTGGTAGAACGCAAAAAGCCTATAACTCTGGCCGCCTGCCTTAGGAAAACTCAAACTAAGCTCTCCTGTGGATGTAACGTTCTGCGACCAATCCTGCAGAGTTGAGTTCTTTAACACATACTGTACAGCACTGGGTTGAACTTCACTGCCAGGAATCAAGCTGGTTGTAGGATTTGAGATATTTCGACTCGATAACACTTGAGCTGAAACGAGTGCTACCAGCTCCCCGGTACCCCAACCAGGGAGCTGTCCTTGAAATGAGCCATTCAGAGGGACACCGACCGAGACTGTAGACTATATGCATGTCAGAACGCGTAATTCTATTCTTTGTAACGAAAATACCTACTAAGTCCCACTGGAGCCCTTCATCTTCAGGACTCGCTGGTACGCCTTGTCCCTGATTCGGGCCCAAAGGAAAGTCCATCACCAAACCCGCATCTTTATGAGCCTGGAGGGCAGCTTTGAAGATATTGACAAACGCGGGCGTACCAAATCCATAGTTTACCCAATCTGCTCCCGGAACAGTACTACCGTAGTCAAAATAAGGAAGAAACTCCACGCCTCCAGCGCCATTGACACCGGCATCCTTGATGTTCTTTTGAACAATAGTCGAATCTACACTGGCATCTGGAAGCCAATAACGAAAACGAGGACGAATTCTAGCGGCGGGATTCTCGAATGTGCCATAGTCGATCTTCGCTCCTACTTGGTCATCGACTGCCAGCCCGTACTGTGGGAGCAGCAGGGCTGCCAAACAAAGAATGCGTGTCTGCATTTTTGAAGTCCTGGGCTGTGCCCTGGATTAGGAGAGAACAACTCCCTATATGAATATTTCTCCATCTTAGCCCAAGGTTGTGGGTTATGAATGGGCCGGCAAAAACAGCCCCGAGATGGTGATCGTCATGCTCGGAAAACCCGAGCGTTGATCTACAATTCTTCTGCCTGGGACCAGCGCAATACAGCGTCATTTTGTCCCTAGCTTTTCTCCACATTCCGAGCAGGAAGTGGGGTAAACCGATACCATTTTAGTCAGGAGAGTGAATTGTGGGGAAACCCGGGGTTTCTGCAGCTTGCTAATGCTGAACCGGACTATCTAGCACCGAGGTTGTGAATTCTATTCCAGATACTCATCATATTGTTCGTGTTTGACAGGAGTTGCAACTTGCATCTAGAATATTAGAAAGTGGCTAATATCTGTGGTGTTCTTGCTTTGCAAAAGACCTCACAACACTTGAACCCGAGGAACCTTGACGAGAGGTACACTGGCGCAGCTCCGTACGTCTGTTCACTCAGTCTTTCAAGTGAAGACAATGTTGGCAAAATCATTCTGGCTTCTGCCCATATACCACATAACTGAAGTCAAAGTCAGCCGAAAGTTCACAAGTCGACAAGTCGTTGCACTTACAAATTATGCTGTGCCTGTAGTCGAGGGTTTCTGAGATCCTTCCTCACATCAGCCAGAAATTCCCGTAGCTCTTCTGGTTGCCAGCCCTTCATAGCTGTGAATATTCGTAACGACATGCCATCCAGTCCGTCATTGAATTGATGGTAATTAAGCGCTCCTACGGTTTTCTATTGCAAAGACACTATCAATCAAAGGGTTCCAAATGCCCTTGTCATCGAAGGAGACATCGTAACGCATACCAGTCTTTTGTCTTTTGGCCAAACACCCACCGGCACGGGCACGACCTTCTGTTGTACATTGGTAAATCCGGCATCCTTGAACCACTGTTGTAATTTGGGCCCGGGAGAAGGTTCGAGTCCAACAGACCTCAGGCCTTCAATGCTTTCAGTACACCACTTATCTAACGGACAGCCGGTCTTGAACTCCCCGTTAGTCGTGTAGAATTGCATTTCGAAATCTTGAAACTCCACCCAGCCTCCTGGTTTAGTGAACCTATTGCCGCATCAGTATCCGTATAGGCATGCAGACATATAGCCCAAGAATATACCCATATCATACTTGAATGTTTGGCGTAGTAGATTTGGCCAGTCTTTGATCGCTCCAGCAAAGTAGCGAGCATGTATATAATCGAACTCCGAGCGGTAATCCCAGTCATTCTCTACATCATCCACTTCAAACCTTACATTAGGGGGCACCCTGTAAGTTATTCGGTTAGTTTAGATGTTTCGCCGCTATGGATGGCATAGTCTCACATACATAGTAGGCTGTATAGGGCTAAGATCGTTTCCCAAAACCTGCACACAAAAGCTCAGAGGTGCTCAATTCAAATCTAGGCCTACCAAAGGCGCGATCTCACCTCTGTTGAAGGATACAAATCCCCTAAATAAGTTTAGGGTTAGCATAAAACCATGAAAGGAATACTCAGAGAAGCAACCATACCCATGTCTATAGCCCAAATCCCTGTGCCGGTTCCTAAATCCAGAATCTGTTCGACATCGGGACTAATCGGTGCAAGGTGGAGTTTGTTGTTGCAACTGAGAGTTAGAATATGATGGAAAAGATCGAGTCGGCCTTTCTCTTCCTGTTTGGTCTACGTAAGCAGTTTTCCTGTCCTGCTTCTACGCTGCGTAAAGCATAACGTACATCATCATTCGGGAGATAGTAATCTACCGATATCACCGCAGTTTATGATTAGACGGTGCTAAGGCAGAACACAGGAAGCATGGCTTCTTCAGCGACTCACTCTCATCTCTGTACGCGTGGTAACGGCGGCCGTGCTCAAATTTGTACGCGAAGACACTCGAACTTAGGCTTGTTGTGTAGCTCGAGCTATTCCGCCCGATGTGTTAACATCAACTCGCCTAAATATTCGTTTTGGACTCACCATTCAGCTTCATAAGAGAAGCCTTCCGCATCAGACGACACCTATGGGTAAGGTTAGAGAGCTGCGTGTCTTACATAAAGTATCGAGTAGATGCTCACATCGTCTGCCTCAACATATTCATGAAGCGGCAATTGCGGGGAAGTAGAAGTAACTTCTGTGGACTCTGGGTCGTTGTGGGTAGCCATTATCACAAAATGTAGCCTAGCTACACAGCAAGAATCTCGAAGAGGCTAACAGAAGACAGCATTGTTCCCTACTCATGGGAGGCTGGTATGCTCTTTTATTTCTTGACGCAATGCGTCTGTGGAGACGGGATGTGCCGTCGCCGAAACGTACGTTGATCATGCACAAAGCCCAAAATGTGCACGCAGCATCCCAGTCCTCCTTTGGTAGTAGCCTGAGGCTATAAGTATGTTAATGGCAGGCAATACTAGGCCTTTCGCAAGCAACTTGCTAAGGGGTGTTGCGTGCGGAACATCCTAATAGTGTCCATTGTGACTTCCAGGACTATAATTAAGGCTTGAATTTTGAGTAAGGCTCAATTTAGTTGTTAACAATCGATAAGTACTTTTGGACAAATACCTGTAGAAATAGAGACCCCTGTCGGAATCGAAGTATAACGTGAGTGGTAAGGGTAAGGACTTGCATCCTAATCTGCATATTCCGCCTAGTCACGTAACATCGTCGCTAAATCCTTTCAAAGAGCCAAGGAGTCGGGGCACCACTTCTAAATCCTGATTCACTGCTACATGCGACGTTGTATGCGCATATCAAATCCCGCTTCCTTGGGATGGATAATCTAGGCGGTGGGTTACCATTTTCGCCATGGTTCACTTAACCCGTCAATAGCCGTTATCACTGTCAAGAGATTCGTTTCACCTTTTTTGTTTTTCCTGCTCTGTCTCGCGCACTATGATATTCAAGCTGGAGGCAAAAGTTTTCATTGTGGCACAGCGAGAGCTCACTATGGATTTCATGGCGCAAATCATGCAACCAACGCAGAGCGTCGCCCCGCTTCCATCAATTAACGTGGGCCTTCGCGTGCATATCACTTGACTGTCTTGATTAAACGAAGCCACCAAAGTCATCATCGTAATAATATACTCTTACCTGGGCAGGGATTTCTGAGGGGGTGAAGGGTGAAATCACGTATGAATGATGCCCATCACAGCGATTCTGAGTTTTAATTGGCATTGATGGTATCTTGAAGTACTGCTAGAGTACCAGAGTACGTAACAGTAGCGGGCGTGAAAACAGCTTAGTTTAAATCATGTGAGATACATTTTCAATTAAGTCAAACGGGTTCTATGGAGGGGATGTTGGTAACGGCGAACCAAGTTCTCATACTACAGAAAGCTACATGAATAGCATATACGCTAAAACTCTCCAGAAGTAACAAAGATCCAATGATCTTACATCCCATTCAAAGCAAGCCCCCTCCGCCTCGATCGGATGTACTTGCTAACGATTCAGCAAGACCGTCAAGCTCCTCGCAAAGCTCCTCGCGATCGTCACACTTTTGAGCTGTATCGTAGTCGATCAAAACAGCTCTCGAGTCGGTCATTAAGAAATTAAATGGATTGGTGTCACCATGTCGAGTCCCCAGGGCATGCAACGGCGACAATGTATCCCAACAAGCCTCGAGATCATCTAAAACTGCATGTCGTGCATTGGAAATTCGTTCCATCAGGAACCCGATTACGCGACCATCTTCGACCAGATGACCCAGAAATCGTGGGCCAATGTCGTGGTCTTTTATCCACTCGTATGCTGTTGTCTCGCTCTCCATGTATCGAATCTCCCAGTGGAAGCGAGCAAATTTAGCGACAACAATGGTGTCAAATCCCGGACATTGAACCTCGTAGATGCCAGTCCGAAGCCTCTTTCCCACTTTTATATCTGAATAGTCAACCGAGTACTCATGCCATTGATTTTTGACACCCGGAAATGTGTTCCGGACGGCACGTGCGAAATATGGCTTCCCGGTGCTCTTGCCTTTGGCAATTAACCCATCATTCCAATCATCAGGTGGAAATTCTGGCAGTAGAGACCTTAGAGATGGGCCAAAAGCCATTTCCGTGGTGGAGAAAATGTTTCCCTCGATGGTAAGGTACTTGATACTTCCATGGACTGAGAATCGGAAGAAACTAAGGTCAGTTTCATCGATTTCTGCCTGGAGAAGCTGTGCGTTTCCGATGGAGAGGGTCATCGCGGCTCGTTGTATAAAACTTGACAACTGAAAACAGCACCGGCAAAGAAATTTGCCAGCTACTCTACAACATAGTAAGGTGACAGTCTACTTTCTATAACCAGTCCAGGGGCTCCCTTTGTCCCTTGCGTACAACGTCTATGTTACACCAGAGCCAGGGCGCCAGACATGGTACCCGATAGTTGCGGTATGTAAATTGCATCGCATGCTAACAGAAGAAAAATATAAGAGGTTACTGATGTAGATTCCTTGAAAGCCAGCAGTCGCAGTCCCTAACACAAAAACATCTCTCACAAGAAGTATACACTCCATATGAGGGAATGCAAAACCAAACAGGCGGGATACAGAGCGGTCACAGAACAGGCGGCAGAAAAGACGCGCCTTTGTTTGCACCATGCCCAATCAGGACAACCAGGTACGAGTCCCACAATAATTCATGCGCCACATGACGGTTGGGTATTCTCGAATGGATAACGTGCGTTGAAAGGTGCGAATAACTCCGAAACAGTATAACTGAGGGGGTCTGCAATCAATTCTTTCTCCCCATACTTTCCTTTTGGTCATTACACCCGTAAACTATTACAACTTTGTTCACTACAACGAAAATGTCCATGACACCGGGTTCGAAATCCAGGTCGTCTACCCCGACTGTATTCGAACAGCAGCGGGAGGAACTGGTGAGAGAGATCGCCGTGGTAGGTTATACAATCTCGGGCAGCTCATGGTGGCTTTAGCATCGAGATAAGCTTACTGAATTGAGCGATCTGCACAGGGTATGGAACAAGTCCTGCAAAACATCAACCGATTGAACCGAAACCTAGAAAGTATCGTTGCAGTAAGTTCTACCTTCCAGCTTCCTTGTACATGTAATTGGCTAAGTCCAACTGCATAGGTGGGCAATGAGTTTAGCTCTGTCGAAGCTCTCTGGTCTCAATTTGAGAACTTCATGGGACGACCGGAGGAAGAGAAGGCCGAGAGTGGTGTGAAGGAGAAAGAGGAGCCTCATGAAGACCAGAGCGAGCTGCATGAGCAGGGACTCGCCAATGAGAGAAGCGAGTTAGACGGTTAAGATATGAGACATGATCCAGAATGTGTTCGGTGCATGGCTTGGTGTATTGGAGTTCAAATATGGGCGCGTACTGTTTACTCTCTATCTCTAGATTATATAGTATCAATTTACAGGACAGAAACATCTCTCGGGGTTCACAGTGTTTTTATATTCAGTGACATGGGAGACTCAGCGCCAATAAACACCCACCCCATGCATATGACATAGTGGTCCTCGGACCGGATTCGTGACAGACATCATGAGGAAAACATGCCAATTTGAGAAATCAAGAAGGTCACAGACAAATAATAGTAGACATAAAGGAAGGGTAATAGTGTTTCATGGAGACAATCATCAAGGAAAAACAGGTATAGCAACATGGAGAAGTAAACTCAAAAGGCCGCCGTTAACGAAATATTTAGAAAAGCACATAATGGGTTGGACCGCGTAGGCCATCCTCTCCAGGTCGTATCCAATTCATATCACGTACAAGGAGAAGTAAACCGCCGAAGCAACCAGGCTTCTTTCGGCGGGAAACAGCAACATGTCAAACAAAAACAAGGAAGGGGGGGGGGGGGAGCATGGGACACGTCGAGACAAGAAAAACGATCTACAAGATCTTGCATGTACGCTTCTTGACCTTCTTAGGACCACCGCCACCTCCAGGAGGTTTGCCACTGGTACTATGACTTTGACGGTTGTTCCAGCTAAACTGTTCTTCGGCCGACACAACAGTGTCAACAGCCATTTCGAAAACCCCGTCCACACCGCGCATTTCCTTGCTACTACATTCAATGTATGAAGCATTCATCCGCCGAGCCACTGCCTGACCTTGCTCTGGTGTCACTGGCGTCAGTCCTTGAGTTTTAAGGAGTTCAATGCAAGTCCTCTTGTTGCGCAAATCGGACTTTAAACCAACCAGGATGATTGGTGTCGTGGGGCAGAAATGTAGGACTTCGGGGTACCACTATATACAGTCAGTGTCATGTGTCATATAAGGAACTCTAAGAGGACATACCTTATCCATCACATTCTCTAGAGATGCGGGGCAATCAATTGCAAAGCAAACGAAGAGTAGATCAGTCTCGGGATAGGATAACGGGCGCAAACGGTCGTACTCTTCCTGGCCTGCAGTATCCCAGAGGGCAAGTTCGACCGTCTTCCCTGACGCTCGATGGATGGTTTGCGTGATGTAGTTCTCAAACACTGTCGGAACGTATTTCTAGTCCAGGTCAGAATGGCGGTCGGAAAAGGCTGTTCAGTAGCATTCGAGCAAGAATAAAGAGTCTTACTTCCGGAAAATACCCTTGCGAGTAACTAATTAAGAGACAAGTCTTTCCACATCCACCATCTCCCACCACAACGAACTTTTTCGAGTATGCGGGTGGTTGAGTGATATTCGTCGCTTCCGACATTCTCCCACTTGAGATGCTGGTATTTGTGCTGGCAGTTCCATTGCTCACTCGGACGCTCTGGCTGCGCCCCCTGCTGTGCCGGGGAGTGGATGAAGGAGGAGGTGTTTTTACCGAATGACGTCGTGACACTGCATAAGGCTGGTCATCGTACATATGGCTCGACATGATGGCGGAAGGCGGAATGCTGAGGTTCAATTAGGAGATTTTAGGAGAACGTGGTGCTCAGCGGCGCCGAAAATGGAATTGTCCTTCTGATCTATTGCTTATAGATAGATCCACTGCCCGTTTTAACGGTTTCCCGGAAATTTTCAGTTTCCAACGGTCGATAGGTTCTGTGATAAGGTGAGGATGATGGAGATGAAGGCTGTTGAGAAAGATGACGGCAAGAAAATAACAAAAAAAAAGAATTCGAAGATCGAGAGCAGCAGTCTAGGTTCTGAAAAGAAAGCAAGAGACGTCGAGTTTCACGATAGTCGTGGTAGTTCGATCAAGTAATGGCAGGTGTGGCGTGGCCGCCGCTCCAGCTGACATGAAACTCGATGTTTACGGGCCGAAGCGCTGCCATGGCAACCACTTGTTCAGGCCATGACGCAGTCAAATCAATATCAATAAAATAAGTCCACACCCAATCCATTGAACCTTTTTTTAGCACAACGTCACTCGATCGATTGAATCAAGGAATTCCTAGCATGTGGTCTGGACCACATATTACAAACTCCTTGATCTTCTTGGATTTCTTCCAAGGTCGACCCTATCAGTAACCTTGTTCTCATTCTCCCGTGCCCTAAAAGCGGCTCCGATCTCGAAGGCTGATTTCGCTTAGTGTTTCGATTGGCCCGCGATCATCGATTATGCAATCTAGACACTGGCCAATATCTCAGCCTAGATTAATCCCTTGCGGGTCTTGGCCAAATAGTATGCCCCTGCCAGACGACTGGTATGTGCTTGAAGGACAGCAAAACGCTGGATCCTTCGACCCTCCCTCGCAAAGCGTTCAGCTGTCATCTGTCCGCACAGAGACGAATCATGCACGGCTACCGTCGTAGAAATTTCTTAACCAATCCTATTGTACGCATGTATCCAATTACCCAATGTCCCCACACTCCTGCCACTTGTTGCAATGTAGTATCGTCGTATTAATGTGCGTGGCTTATTCCGGCATCAACCAACTCGAATTCGCCCGACGATCGTCACGTACTCGTACTTAGTAGCCTGAAAGAATACGCTCGAGACCAGAAGAAATCGAAGTCTATCATCACGTCGTATTTCGTTACCCAATGAGTGACATCTACAAGCGACTCCTTTTCTCTCGCATTTGCTGAGATGATGCCCGGCTATTATGGTTCATGAATACTATATAATTTGCCTTTAAGGATGTCTGCTTTATCGGAACCAACTTCCACGTCGATCATTCAGTCCGAGCCTGTATCAACATAGTTCAGCATATTGAGTCTGGTTGTTTTGACATAGTATAACTCATATTAGCTTTATTTTTATAATCATAATACGAACAAATATTACTTACGGCACAAGTTCACTATGGTCTGTCCAAAATCTCCTAGAAAGCAACCGTTGCATGGGAACAACTTGAGCGTGAGAATAATGGCTATCAACTTCATTGAACAAGTTGTTACTATTCAGATTGTTATTTTATTTTTCTATTTTATTTTTAATTTAATTTCTTGTAGTGCAACATGACCGATGTAGTAGCTCAGTGCTGAAAAAAGCACAGATGCCTGTGTGTCTGTGTGTGTATGGATAGAATATATACAGTGGAGAGTTGGGCGTCGACGAACATAAGTTTGCTCTTAGTTTATTTTTATTTTTATTTTGCTTCTGCGTTTCAATCTACCGAGGCTCATGAAAACTGATCATAAGCCGACCAATAATGGGAAAGTAAACACCCGTTCAATTGGATTATTCTACTAATCCACTTGAGCATACTGAGTTCTCTAGATCAATGCAGAAAGGGAGCATCCGTAGGAACTCCGGAACCAGATTTTTTTCGGCGATTCTTCATGTTCCGTCTTCCGTTGTCAAAAAAGCCTCATTTCGAACGATAGAAAAAAATCACTAAAGAAAGAATTACCCACTCCGTACTCGTATCGGGCCAATTAGGGGTGACTAAGCACTAACCCAGCATCCTACTTTGTATTAGTAGCAATTTTACTCCCCCCGTGCTATTCAAGTCGCATTGACCGCCCGAGAACCAAACCGCTGGATAACGCGGGACAATCTCCCCGACTAATCCAAATTGACCTGCTGCTGTCTTCCTCTTCCCCCTGATCGAAACCGAGTGGACAAGGGACAATTAATGAAAATTTTGCACATCTCGTGCTTCCGAATGGTTCTCTCACGAAACTGTCATCGGCGTTGAGACATTGAACTGAGCAGATCGTGGGATCTATGGGGAGACCGCAACGATAGCGTCACCCTGATTTGAACGGCCGTCTGCAACATGAACAAGGGACCAAATGGCACACCAGATGCTGGGCTGAGAAGCCTTAATCATTGTGCGTCGTAATTCCTATTTGACCTGATGGTCTTTCCGTGCGTCAACATACTAACGGTCCGCTGGGAATAGATCGCAACCAGCTCCCATCCTGGCGGTACTGGCCACGACAGAAACTTCTCCCCTTGGTGCGATATGAGACCCCATATCTCGCCTGGTTGCAGGAGAAGGTGCGAACTCCGGCCCTAGATTCCTATTTCGCATTCACGGCCAATCTCGGAACGCATACGTTTTTCATGGTTTTCTTGCCTATACTGTTCTGGAATGGGTATACAAGCTTAGGGCGTGGGTATGTACATGGGCCCGATATAGTTCAGAGTGCGCTGAGCTGTGGACCGCGTGATCACATTGGCTAAAAAAATATCAATTGGTTAGGATGGTGAATCTTTTGGCATCTGGAGTCTTCTTTAGCGGTTTCATTAAAGACTTGCTTTGCCTCCCACGCCCGCTATCGCCTCCGCTACAACGTATTACAATGTCTGGTTCCGCTGCGTTGGAGTATGGGTTTCCCTCTACTCATTCGACAAATGCCGTCTCGGTTGCCGTATACGCACTGGCTCTCCTAAACATGCCTGATTCGACCTTGAGTCCTGCCATCAACGTGTTTCTACAAGGTATCACTTACCTCTATGTCATCTCGATTGTATTCGGCCGACTGTACTGTGGTATGCACGGGTTTTTTGATGTGATCATTGGATGCTTGCTGGGCAGCTTGCTTGCAGTCATACAATATGCCTACGGGACCGCCTTCGACGAGTTTGTAGTCTCGGCTTCCGGGAAACAGATCACGCTGGTGGTATTGGTGATCCTCGCTCTTGTTCGTCTTCACCCGGAGCCCGCCGATGACTGTCCTTGTTTCGACGATAGTGTTGCCTTCGCGGGGGTGATACTTGGGTTGCAAGTGGCTTATTGGCACGTAGCGAAAACGGACATCACATGGGATGACCCCGTCCCCGCCACTGTTCCGTATAGGTTTAACGATTTAGGGGTGTTGAAGACGGCTATGCGCCTCATCTTAGGAGTCGCATTGATCGTTGTGTGGAGAGAGGTTATGAAGCCCTCTCTTCTCCGTGTACTTCCCCCGGTCTTTCGTGGTCTGGAAAAGTTGGGTCTGTTACTCCCTCGACGATTCTTTACCGCAGCGTCGTAAGTCAGGTCTTGTCTCCATCTAATACCGATTTATCAGCTCACGGTTGAACCAGGCAATACACCAAAGTTCCCACGCAACTCAAGGATCATGAAGTGTTCCCAACCTTTTCCGAAATCCCGTCCATTTTTTCGAACATCCGTCACCCCCGACGACGAGCCATTTCAGTCGGCCCACAGTCGGAAGCTGATGCCTACGAAACCCTGGCCTACCGGGAAAAGCGCAGACGAGAGAGCCTGTCAAATAGCAACCGAACGTCGCCTCTGGCAGAAGAGGATACTCAGCAAGACATCTCCGACGGACAATATCCTCACCTATCGCGCAAGCGCTCCAAGCTCCATGAATATGAAACCATGATGGGAACCGGTAACCCTCGAATCGCAACTGGCGTTGATGGTACAGAGGCGCCTCCATTGACGGAGCCATTCCCTGATTTGGTTCCTGACCCCGAGCCGGACGAAGAAGAGGTGTTTGCACGGATTAAAAAACCTCGTGTACGATACGATGTGGAGGTAGTTACGAAGCTGGTGGTATATTCCGGTATGTGATTCTTTCGTTTCTACCCTTTTTGAATCTTGGACTTACGCTGGCTAGGTATTGCTTGGATTGTGATGGAGGGAGCTCCTTTTGTCTTCGACAAAGTTGGCCTTGCGCCGATTTAAAGCCATCTGAAAACTAAGCTGAGAGTGAGGTTTAGTTCAGCTGGCTGAACGTCACGAGTCATTATTATTTCTGTACCATAGCTGGCCTTCAAGTGTACATATATGACTTTGATGCGTTATGTATTTTTCCCCATGTTTTTCTTTTTTTTTTTTTTTTTCTCCATTCGTTGGTGTGGTCGCGTGTTGAAGAGAAATTAGGACTCTTGACCGAGGTTCGAATTGATTAAGACCTGAATTATATACAGAGGGGTAATTGCCAGAATATTGAAATTGCATCTCTAATGGTAGGAGAGCTGTTCTCGATACACTTGTGAGCTACTAGTACTTGTAGATCGATTTGATTGTGGTTCGCAGAATGATCACGTGAAAGTCCAAAAAGGGGAAAGCGTGGTTAAGCTTCGGGGCGTCTAAACCATGCCGGGAACTACTTTAACTTCTTCCCATCAATTCACTTCTCCAGATTGCGCGCCGGTAGGAAGGCTCGTTTTGCGCCTCTCCAGCCTGCCATTTGTTTATCAAGGGGAGCACGCTCATGGAGCTGCCATTCACTCTAGCGACTGTCGCGACTTCAACAAAAACCATGGCAATCACCCATGGCCAGTAATTGCGATCCCATCTGTTTTGCTTTCCCCCTCCCTCATCTCTTCACCACTTCAACCCATATCTTCCTGATACTCTTTCTCTTCATCACCATCTTTTGCCTTCTCACTACACGATTTTCTCGCTTACAACGCGCTTCAAAATCTTCTCCGTTGATACCGGTACCTTTTCACAATCGTCCGGATTCCAAATCCACCATGGCTGGCGTATTCTCGACCCAGCAACGCGTGATGGAGGACATGACCATGAGAAACATGAGCGTAATGGATACTGAAGACACTAGTATGGGGGCGGAAGAACAATACTACGACCCCATGGATATCAGCCCTCTTCCCTCAAACGAACCGTCACAGACCACCGCCCAGAACCTCCCTAGACCTGATTACTGGGTTCACTTTACTCCCCCAAAAAGCGGTGGTGTGCCCAAAGCTACCAGACTCGACGGAAAGCCGGCGACACGAGCTCCAATAATTAGACCGTTGACGCGATTCTCACCGCAGGCGCGAATCGACCCATCGACTGGCCGCTTCAAGCAGCAGTTCATCGCGCAGCCTTTTCTCCGAGATACTTTTGCCTCGAACAACATAATCGGCCATTTAAACAACAAAACCAATGCCTTCACCTCGATCAACAGATACAGCTCTCACTCGAATAACGTACTAAAGTCTCTGTCTAATAAGCCAGTGACTATCGGAACAAGCGTTCCCACCACACGTGATTCGTCTTTCAATAGTCTTTTGACCACCCAGTCCATTTGGGACCGCAAAACTCCTAGTTTTGAGTCGAACACATCGATTACCACTGCGACATCTTTCAACTCTCGGAAGAGATCAGTCGACGATGGTTTCAATGAATCGACTCACCGGGTTACCCCCGAGACGGATAGCCCGTCGAGCAAATATCGACGCGTTAGCGAGGAAGGGTTCCCAAATTCCGCGATCACAAGCAAGGCAGAAACCCAGAAAGCTGAAGCGCTATCAACCCACGCTGCGCATCCTATCCAGGAACACACCGTGCCGACCGCTACATTTCCCGTTCGCCACGATGCTTCGACGCAATCCCAGTACTTGACCGCTCCTGTCGCACTCGCGGCCGAGAGTAATTTCTCTACCCGCGAAAACGTTTCTGGCCAAATTGGTCATTCCAGCCCTGCTGATGCCCTCATTCCTGGTGGATGGCCTGAGCAGCCTTCCCACGATAATTTATCCGCCACTGCAACATCTAATGCTCCTTCCGTCAATGATGTATTGCGCGTAGGAGAAGACCCTCTCATGACGGGTGCACTTATCGCGCCATCTCTTACCACCTCACTACCTGGTCCTAGTGGCTCGAACACCGCTACTGATGAATCTGGTAATGCGGACGATCAGCGGATGCAAGCGATTGACACTCTTGACAGCAACCTCTACAATAGACAGATCTCACATATGCTACGCCCGTACTGGGCAACATGTTACGCCATTGTCAAAGGCGCCTACGCTGCGTCGGGAACTGTCAAGAACGTTTTTACTAAGACTTGGAATATGATTGGGCAGCCCGTGGTTGACTACGTACAACATCGTCGCCGTCCGCAGCCATCCCGCCGCTCTCCTGGCCTCAGAGCTTCTCCGTCACGAGCTGCAGCACTTCGTCGCCTCCCCGAGGAGCAGAGACGCATGATCAGAGACCATGAAAGGCGTAGGCAGAGAGGTTACCCCACAGTGCAAAACCTTCCTTTCCCAGATTTGACTCTGGACATTCCACAATCTCCGACCATTGGGTCTTCACCTTTCATGGAGATGCCAAATGATTCTTTCGTCATGTCACACGCCGCAATCTTTGAGAGGGATCCTCGACAGCGCGGCAACCGTTATCCTGAGAGTACAGGACACCGCTGGACTAATAGAAGATTCAGCAAACCGACAGGCGTCCAGAAGTCCCCGCAGGTCAAGTCTATGAGCCCTAATCTTAAGCGCCGGTTGTGGCCAGGTAGGAACCTGGAGCGTGGCAAACGCGAACTTGCGCTACAAAAAGCATGGAAAACAGGGGATTTCAGCGAGGTCTTGAAGGACCAGGGATCCCATGTATCCACCCACATTGGACTTTCCCAACGCACCGAACGTCTAGGCCAGCCCGCGCCAAAAGAGGGGCCGAAGCCGAAGCCGAAGAAGCGAGTGCGCTTCAAGGATCCGATTGAACAGTTCATCCCGGAGCCTACTCTCCCTGACCTTGCTCCGTACCTTCATCCCACGTCTCCCAACGTCGAACGTGTTTCTGCTAAAAAAGCATACAATGAACAGAAGGAGAATGTCCCACCAATTTCTAGGTCGGCGGTAAAGACTGACACTGAAGATGAACTGATTGGATTTGGAGGACATTGGTGGGAAGATCAGATTGAGTATCCACTTGGACGACCCGTCTCAGCCGTGAGCCTCTTTTACCCCGAAGCGAAACCGCTTCCGCCCGGCCGGACGGAGTCTGTCTATGCTGAGGAGTGGAGAAAGATCGAAGAGGAGGAGAAGCGTAAGCAAACCCCAGCACGAGTTCGTGTTGAAGGTCCAGCTGTACGCCCTCTTTCAGGGGAGTGGATGAGCCGAGTGTCCAATGCCATGGCCACACACAGCAACCGCCGCATCGCCACTACTCTGTCCGGTGACCCGCTGACGAAGAAGGATCTGTCTACTTGTTTTACTCCCATGGCCTGGTTGAACGATGAGGTTATTAACTCATACCTTGCTATAATCGTCGACTATCTGCGCCGCACGAATCACAACAACGGCCGTGGTGACAAACCCCGGTTCCACGCTTTCAATACTTTCTTTTTCTCCAACATGCGCGACAAAGGCTATCAGTCTGTCCGACGCTGGGCCAATCGTGCCAAGATTGGCGGCGCGTCTCTTCTTGACGTGGATACCGTGTTTGTTCCAGTGCACAACAGTGCACACTGGACGCTTATCGTGATCAAGCCATTGGAACGCACCATCGAGCATTTTGACTCGCTGGGCTCACTCTCGCACCGGCACGTGGGAGTGATGAAGGATTGGCTCCGTAACGAATTGGGCCCTCATTACCTCGAGGAGGAATGGCGCGTCCTACCGTCTGTCTCTCCTCAGCAAGACAACGGTAGTGATTGCGGAGTATTCCTTTTGTCTACCGCAAAGGCGGTGGCCATCGGCCTCGAGCCACTATCCTATTGCGCGCGGGACATTGTCTTGCTGCGCAAGAAGATAGTGGCCGAGCTGATGGCCGGCGGGCTGGAGGGGGATTTTGATCCGGCCTCCGGCGGGGAGGTGTTGCTCTAGAGCAATTCCCTCCCGGTGGAGGAGGAAGACCAAACCATCAAGGTTGTATTTTGTTGTCTTTTGTTCTTCTTATTTCCTTGATTTCTTGCATTGCGTGGAGTTTGGAGGTTGTGAGAGTATGGGATGGATATATTGTAAGAGTTCGTTTTGGGATCAGCAACGGCGTTTGGCACATGTACGAGTGATACCCGTCAGTTGAAGCAAAGCTCCTGACATATGACATTGAATTGGGTCTGCTGGCGAAAATCGCTTTTGATGCTTACATGCACATACAGCAATGCGACATGTGGATGGATTGAAATAAAGACATGGACATGGTTGATTTGAGTGCTAGATATCTGTGGATACAATGTAGACCAATGTGAATATCTGCAAAGGCACCGTGCCTTCATTGTAATGATGTCGATTGAATATTTATAAGACCATGAAGACGTAGTGGCTGCATAGAGAACTTAATGAAAGTCACTCACATAACATGCTTTTCGACACCCAACCTTATCTCCTGTCCGTATATTCTCTTGCTTCAGGATATCACCTTCTAACGTCTTACTCCTGACCCTACGCAAATCACTATCAACATCGCGAAAATCGGCCCTCCGAACCGTCCTATCTCTTGACCTCGTTAAGCCCTCACCACGGCCAGCAGGCGCACCAGCCACGGAAGAAACATTGAACGCCATCTCAATCCACTCAACACCCAAGAACACCGACTCCCCAGCCCTCAAATTCCCCGTCCAATTCCCCCCATCACTCCACAGATTCAGAACCAATGTACTCGGCTCCCGAGGCACACCATAAGCCTTAACCGCCTGCAAAGCCTCCCCAGCATACCAACGCGACATATTAGGAAACCAGTCTAAGCGATGCGTCAACCACGCCGTCCACGGCACAGAAAGGTTCACCATGGAGCCCGCTCCGGGAATAGCCGTATCCGAGACGGGATCATAATCTGGCTGATTGGAATAATGAATCACATTGGGTGGATCAGAGGTGAGGATCTCGATATCCGATTCACACGTTTTGGAACGGTATGTGAAGAGTCCGACGCAGGCGCCCTTGGGAACGATATTATGCCTGATTGGTCTTCGACGTCCTTTGCCCCAATGCCTGTCTTGGGGGTCTCGGGTCGGTGGGCGGATGCGCCTGGGACCGAGAGCGGTCTCCTTTGACATAAGTCTCATTCTGACACGGAGTGAACAGTGCAGGATGTTCCATCCTAGGAACTCGATTTCGGCTGTTGAGACGTGGTCTGCGTGCCGGGTTGTCTGGAGGAGGAGGTATGTTGGGTTTGGCGAGACGTGGCTCTGGGGGTCTGGGTTTGGCGCGATGAATACGTTCGTTTCGGCGTTAGTGATGGGGAGGAGCTCCGTTGTTCCGGTTTTGGTCCATGTCTGGGGGAGCCAGTCGTTGATGAAGGGCGTGTTGGATAGGAGGAGCGTGGTATATAGTGCCAGGGGGGTTGGGGCCGGTTGTTGGGTGACATTTGGGAGGGCGATGTTGCGGAAGTCCCAGAAGTGGTAGTTTGTAAAGTAGCCTGGGTCTGGGCCGGAGATTATGTAGCAGTCGCAGAGGGTGTTGTTTGTTGATTGTGGGTTTGGCGTTGGGGAGGTGGTGGTGGTCATGGGTATCAAAGAGAGACTGGGTAGGAGAGTGAGATTGCTGAACTTCATTGTTGATGGTAAATGATAAGAGAAAGGAGTGTCTTGTGTAAGATATAACAGTATTGATTATTTGGAGAGTGTTGCTTGTTTCTAGTCACTTGGATGTGTTTGTATATCATTAGGGTTAGTGATGCTACGGCAGGTGCGTCTTTGTGTGTTACTTCCACTACAGAGTTATTCGTTTCTTTGCACAATCTTGGGGAACAGGGTATAACACTGTCTGGATACTACGATATAACTCAATCAAGCTTATTGAACGACTACGAGGGCCTCTATTGTTTCATCTCCATGAGAAGAACATAATGAAAACACCACAAGACTATACTGACACCAAGACTACAATCAGCAGTCGTAAAGAACATTTGTCTACAAAGGAACACTGTAGGGCTCAATAGTGGCATTCCTACAGTCTTTGCCATTGTATTTCTTTGTTATATCAACATGGTCTATGAATGAACGACCCAGTGCCTTTCAATAGTTTCTTGAACACATATTTGATATGGTCTAAAGTATCTAAATTGGATGAAGATGCCAACTGATAAAGAATCCAATGTCTTATATATACATATTCCCTGACCGGGCTTCTGCTCGCATGGTCTGCGTAACATTCAATAGAGACAACGATCTCATATCCAGAAACGTGCAATATTCGACACGATGCCGAGGCGCAGGGAAAACGTGGAATGCGTCCATTGCGGACGCTTCCATCCACAGTATTATGGCGCGGCATTAAAAGGCCATGCGAGGGTACATCGGAACCGTCGAGAGGCTGCTCAAAGACAACGTGACCTCTCGGCAGAAACAGAAGATGATTTGGTATCAACTCCACACGTTGCAGACTTACTTCGTCGTGTCCGGCGTCTAAAGCAAGAGCAACTGACTGCTGATAATGTGGCACAAAAGCTGCTAGAAGTATGGGGTGATGACGACGCGAGAATGGCGTTGCTGCGCCGTCTGATGACTCCTCATCTTCCACCTGGGCAAGGAGCAAGATCGCTAATGGCGACCGCCAGAAACATAATCCTTACCTTGACTGGTCCTCTGGTCCGAGCTGGGGTAATGATTCCCACTTATTTCGAGCCTGGACCTTGGGAAGACCCTACATGGCCTGAGCAGGAGCGATCCCACTACCCCGTACATTCATCCTTGGCAAGAACGTCAGTTGGATTGGCTCTCCTTCGAGATGATGCTCGTGCAGTCGAGATGCTAGTTACTCTTGAAATGAGCCCGAACGGTATGCTTTTATGTGGGTACAGCATTTTGGCTGTGGCCGTCTTAACATCGGCGAGGGAGGTCCTAGACTACCTCCTATCTCTCGTGGACGAGATTCAAATTGACCAGCAGGCAAACGCCTACGGTGAGCAAGAGGAGACGGCGATAACGGTGGCATGGAAGGTCGGGAACATGGACGCTTTCAGGAAGCTCTTAACCCACAATGGGGGTGGGGTCCCAGGCCGAAGCCTTTTTCGCATCTGTGCCCATGAACACCATGATGCATTCAATGAGGTGCTTCAACTGGGCTTAGATAGCCGAGAACTTCTTCGGGCGCAACATCCGATCAACCAGGAGACCCCTCTTCATGCCGCCGTATTAAACACGGATTATGCTGTCTTGGACGCAGTAATGCAATTAGCTGCGCGGGTTGGTCACAGTGAGGGTGACACGTATCCTCAATATCTGCACCTTCGAAATAGACAAGGCCAAACGCCTCTGATGTATGCGATCGAGCATCAGAAATACAGGAACATCGTAACCCTTCTCGACGACCAAGACATCAATCTTAACGAGAGAGCGTGGGGCGGCCAGACCGCGCTATGGTATGCTGCTCGCGCCGTGGATCTAGCGCTCGTCGATATACTCCTCATACTGAGGTGCGATGCGGGCAACCCCCTTCCTCTTCAGTTTCCGACCAAAGGTACTCCGCTCAATGCCTTGCTCTATGCATATGAGGACATTCTGCAGGTATACACGCATGAACTACTGGGGGGTATAAAGGGAGCACACAGAAAATTCAGTCAAGGAAAGAAGGACATTCTTGAGATTGCTCGGACGTTAGTCCAGTACGGTTGTCAAGCAAATGTAGGGGATGATCGTTGGCGAATGCCTATGACCGAAAGACTAGAGGGATTTCCAGAGTGGGGGGCGTTGTTCACGTAGTACTTAGTTTCTCTGGTCACTTTTTTCCTCTTCTTTTCTGCTTACTTCACTTCTATGACTGTTTCTAAGATATGGCCATCACTGAAGTCTGCTGGTGTGGGTGTGTGATATAGTTGGGCAGTAGTCGATTGTAAATATATAGATTCCATCAATGTTGAAACTATTGTTGAATTTCTCACACGTATGCGCCACTATGAACTACTAATGGTTTACCCCGATATCTGACTTATCATTATTTGATCTAAGTTTTAGTACTACCATTTTTCATTGATACTGGTTTGCCCTACATAAAATAGTGGTGTTGGAAGATGACCCTGTCCAAAAGTGGCCCACTTTGTATGGGAAGTTGAGTCCCCCCAGAATGATTTTCGGACGCGGGAACGTTTGAATGCACGACAACGACCCAAGCAGTGTCGGTGGTACTATGAGGAGTCGAGTCGGACTGTGTTTCTATTTTGATTAGAGCGTGCTTTAATATTTCTCTAGTATCTTTTTAAATTTTTTTCCCTTCCTCTACTTCATTCTATATATTCTAATACGATTCTTTTCTAAGGTCGTGTCTCCGTAAGCAGGGTCAACTGGTTAGTGGTCAGTCCCGACCGTGGGATGTAAGATAAAGTAATACGAATACGGCATGGGTGATCCCATTCAGGGTGATTGCACAATGACGCCGAGGGCTATTTCTGTTCTCCAATAAAGGAATGCCCCTTGGGTGGTGATAAGGCAAAGTGAGAGACAAACTGGTCAATCATTGGCTCCTAGCTGGTCAGCTGAACGCAGTGCGGCTGCCAAGCCTTTAGCTCGGCGGTAAATTTGGTCTCATTGTATTGTCACGGCTCGTATTGCTGACGAAAGAAGGATTTGTGTAGAGTATTTTCTCTCGGTGGGCTTCATTTGAGATTCAAGTGTTGGGCACTGTTTGAGCTGTTATTTAGGGGATAATTCAATTGGTCTATTTCAGATTGAGGATATTTTCCTCCTGCGAAAAGAGGACCAGTTGCTGGACGACGGGTGTTCGCAATGTTTTGATTAGGGCTAACCGACCGGCAGTCCCGACCGCATTGGGCCATCCCGTGTCTGCCACGCAAGTTGAAGGAGGGGATGGGGCGGTCACGGGTCAAGGAGAGAGCGTTTTGAGTCTTTCTCACTCATCTTGCAACCGTCATCACTCATACCACAACCATCACGACCATCGATCAACCCACACATCCCATCGCTATCATTATTCGAACTATCGCCGAAATGGACCTCATATCTTGTTGAATGAATTTAGGGGGTGTTGACTTTGTTGAAACTCGAGTTAATCACGATTTTATCACCTATCTCTTATCCCTATCTACCATACTCAGCCCCTTCCCATCACAACACTATGACAGCCACCCTTGAACGGAGTTTGTCTCGCACTTCGAGCATGTCTATACCGATCTCGAGCCCTAGATTATCTCTTTTACATGAAACGACGCCGCCTAGCTTATCCGACCCTGCCCTATCTCACATCCACGACCGTTTAACCCTTCTAGATTCCCGTGTTCTAGAACTACGTTCGACTGTCCTCACAAAAGACGGCTATGTCGATCGACGCAACCGGGAAGATGAACACATTCGTCGGGAATTCGAAGCCCATCGCTCTATCTCGAACCGAATCGATCTTAATGTGGTTGCGCTGAGGACGGACGTGGACCAGCTGAAGTCGGGAGTGTTCCAACTGAAGTCGAGTATCGGCCAGACCGGCAATGAGACCGTCTTCTTGCGCAGTGATGTCGATCGTTTGTCGAAGAATATAGATCAGATTCAGTCCGATATCGAGCAAGTTCAGACGGACGTGTGTGGATGCCGGGTGGAGATCAGCAAACTACATGCGACCATCAGTCAACTTCGTACCGATTTGATCACCCTTCAGCATGAAACATCACGACATTTGAATTCTGTCTTCGACCGCTTTTCCTTGATCGAGTCCCGTATGAAGCATTCGGAACGCGTCCGCTTCAACTCCCTGGCTCACACCACTCATGCCCCAATCACCCCTGTCCCTGTTGTTGAGGATGATGGCACGCTGCAGTGGCCGGAATATTTCCCTCCTACTGTTTGGCGTTTCTGGTGCCTGAAGAAGCGCAGTCGGAGTAAGTCGGACTACGGTGAATGTCCCTGCGGCAAGTCTAACATATTACTATAGTCAATCGGTTGGTTCAGTTGGCCGAATTCTACCAACTTGGAGGTTACCAATACTGGGGTCGAATGCATCAGACAGAGGCTATGTTTGCCAGCGATAGTGACTCTAGCGACTCCAGTGACTACCCGTCCAATTTAACTCGTGCTGAAGCAGTTCGCTTATACCCCGAGGCCGCACACCAGGCACTGGCTGCCACATTGGGTTTGGTTTATTACAAGATTCGGAACGAAGTTGGAGAAGGGCCGAATACCCATATTCCACGTCCCCCGAAGCGGCAGCAAGAGGACCTGCCGTCGGTGTCATCGGGTTCGAAGCCGAAACCGGTGAAGATGGCACGCCGTCCCAACAACGTGTCGCCTACTGCTTTGCACAGACTGATCACTGGGCCGTCGCTGGAGTCAAAATCAATGGCCTCGGACGAGTCTGATAAACTTGGATGGAATGCCCACTCAGAAGTATCTGACGAGGCTATGAGTAAGCTGCGAAACATCGTTTCCGAGGAAGTCGGTACTCTGCTTCGAGCTTTGGAACGTGGACGCATCCGATTGAAGCCTGGTCGCTCTGAGCGTGAGAAAATGTCTCCCATCGAATCCAAAGCCAGCGTACGTAATGGCCGGTACGGTGGCGACGGGGCACAAGACGATGATGCGCGGACCTTACCGAACACGGTCCCGACGGAGATCGTGTCTCTTTCAGATAAAACGGACAAAACAGAGGAACATGACCCTGAACTCCCGGCTACCGAGTCCGATGCGACTAGTCCGTGATTCTATCACGATATCGTCAACACGATATTTTGGTTGAATACAGAGGCTTGCATTAAAGGCTCTTGCCCGTTACGTGACTATCTCATACAAATTCCTATGCCATAGTCACGTAATAGGTGCAAGAGCCTTTAATACTTTATCCTCATTGGACTAGTCGTTTCGCGATCGACGGCTGTCCTTCACACATCTCGTTGCAGATGTATCGCTGGCTAGCATGACACGCAGAGAATGCTCCAACTGAACCTTTTGATATAGTTGTAGCACTCTCAGGGTGTGGTGCGCGATAGCAGCACTGCTCCTTGGTTGCACAACGATCGGCACAGGGCACATCATGCCACTGTCGATGTGTAGCAACATTCCAAATTCTGGGTATGTTAGGGTGCGGTCAGCCCTTCACATATAAATAGCGAGCTCTCCCGTGAGGCTCGCCGCATCTTGGCATTGAACTGATAGACCATTTTGACATCTTGGTGGCCTGCGACGTCCTGCTCAAGGCAACGCAATACTTTGCGTAATGCTGACAGTTGAGTCTTGAGTCGGGGCTCATAACCTACGATTAGAATTGATAGGCATGATACGGCGCCCTGGATGGATATGTATACAAGATACCCCTTTGGTTGGATTGTTTTTGCAGATTATTCTATTTTGGTCTGGACCTAGCGTTATATACCTTGCATTTGGCGTTTCTTATATTACAACTAGCTTTGGTTATCTGATTCAATGACAATAGGAGCAGTGATATTGACAAGAAGACAGTCTCGATCCCACAAGTCGAGACGTTTTACGTATCTGGACCAAATCTCTCCGCTGGCCGCAGCCTCTACATCGCGCATCAACTGCTTCAGCGTGGGCCCACTCGTATAAGCGTCATGTTATAAGTGTCATGTTAAACCCGTTGCCCACCGCTGAGGCCAAGTACTAAACATTAACAATTGATAAATTAGATCAAGGTGAACCAAGTCCCATTTGAAACAATGATATCCTAACAACCAATTCCCGCAAGCATCAACGTCCTGCGGTCTAAACGGGCTCCAATAGATCTTTCTGCAGCACCTCCAACACTTTTCTCTCATCTAGATTTGAAATATCCATGGACCCGGGTGCCGGTTGGTCGCCGTCCGTCTCGGAGGTTTCTCCCGACTCGATTTCACCTTGTGGCTGTGTGCGTACATAGTCTTTCTCGAGAAGGAACTTTGCATCCTCTTGATCCGAAGACAAGGCATCCGGTGAGTCTGATAGTATATAGATAGTCGGGAATTCTAGAACAGTGCGGCCACGCAGAGCGGAGGTGAGGGTGGCAGTGGGAGAGAGAGGGACAAGCACCGGCTGTTTCGTGCTCGTCCGCGGGCGATGGAGATAGAAGTAGACGTCGCGGTGGGAGGTAATCTCATCCATGGATGGCGTAGGCTGGTTTTCCGAGATTGCCGGTGCGATGTCCGGTTTTATCTCGCTCTCAGGGTTGGGAAGCATAGTTTCCTGAGGCACAGCTTCCTGAGGCGTAGCTTCTGCGGGAGACTGAGTAGGGTCGTGTGTATCAGGCAGTTGCTCAGATGAATTGACGTCCACTTGTTCCGACTTGCTTTCCTGATCTTTCTTCTTCTGTTCACGCTCCTCTCTAGACAAAGGAAAAGACCGATTGTAGGCCTCCGCAAGAGTCGACGACTCCAAACAGAGTCTATTCCTCCTCTCCCCATCGGGAGCAACCCACTCGACCGTCCAATTTAGACACTTATTCCTGCACCAGAGTTAGCAACCACCCTGTTTGATGCACCCTCCAACTAAAACCCAAAGAAGGAAAACATACTTAGGCTGCCACTTCGACGCATTGGCCTTATTCCGACTCATCCCCCTCGGCGCCCGAAGAACAGTAACACCAGCTTCCTCCGCGCCCCTAAGAAACCCAAACTCCCCCTTTACAAACCCCCCAGAACCGCCCTCAACCCTCCTCCTCTTCCTCCCCGTCTCACTACCACCACCACTCTCCTCATCCCCATCCAACCCCACAACCGCAAGATCCACCCCTCGCCCAGAAGTCCCAGGTTGTACAGAGATTCCCCTATTCTCAGCATCGCGCTCCGCGCGCTCCAGAGTGCGCTCGATACACGTGATGAAATTAAAGTCTCGGTCGAAGGCGGATTCAGTCGCTAGTTCGTTTTTCTTCATGTAGGCGGCTGGATCGCGAACGCCGCTGCATTGGGACCAGAGTTTGTGGCGGCGTGAACAGGGAAGGGAGCAGGTGCGGGTTGAACAGCGGGGACAGCGGTATTTTGGGGGTTGGATGTGGCTGTTTTTGGTTTATTTGTTAGTAGGTGGTTTGTTTGATGATATGGGGGTTGGTGATGGGATTGGGGTAAGAACGGACCATATTGTGCAGAGGTCTGAGAGGAGGGGGGTTTCGGAGGACATTTCTATTATATATCCTTATTCTGGATAATGGGAGATTGTATAGATAATATTGTAAAATGTACAGAGGGTAAAATATTAAGTATGAATACGGCGACAGGTCTTGTTATGATATAATATGAGAGATGAGAAGTGGAGCAGAGGAAAAAAAGTCTGGATAACTTTAGCTTATCGATAAGGAGGTATCATTGATGCCTTATTCTCTATAGTTTATGCCTGAGGCTACTGGATGACTGCCTGGATCAGATATCCGTTTTCAGACACCAAGGAGGTCATGTGCGCTGATTGATAAGAAGAGAACTTTTGACTTTGTTAGGTAATGGATCACGTCTTTCCAGATCAGATCAAACTATCAAATTATCACCGAACCCACCCACGCTCTGTGTAATAAGAGGAAAGTTGAATGAGAGACCCCGTCTAACTAGAATCAAACTAGGTATATAATCCCCCACTCCTCCAGTGACTCACGCATTAGTAAAGCCTTGTTCCTGATTCCATCTCCGCTATCGGATCGGTATCCACCTGACAAATCAGGCACCCAAAGCCGCCACCAATCTTTCATCCCACCAAAGATCTTAATAATTGATAAGGGAAGGCAATCCAGTGCAACTTTCTTTTCTCCAAACCAAACCAACCTATACCTTGTATCCCCCAATATACCACACAGAACCAAGGATACCGACCAGGGAAAAAACAAACAAGGAGTTGAACCAATATAATTATCCCAAAATGTCCATCACAATCGACACCTCCGTCGACATCGACCTCCCCACCCCACCTCAGTCAAACGGCAGTCAAAAGCGCAACCTCCTCCTCGCCCCTCCCTCTGTTGCCGCCCACGAAGAGAAGCTTCATCATGTTTTCTCGACCTTCGATCGCTCCTCGACCGATCTCCAGATGCTCGATCGCCTTTCCGCAGGCTTCGTCTCCCTTCCTCCCAATACATATGATCTCGTGCTGGTGTTGACGGACGCACAGTCGGATGAGGCTGTGCGGTTGTTGACTCGGGATGTTTATACCGCTTTGGTACCGGCGATGAAGGCGGGCGCTAGATTGCAGCTGCAGCAGGGGAGTTTGGGGGCTAGTGAGGGGTTGGAGGCTATTTTGGCGGGGCTGGTGGAGAAGGATGGTGGGTTTGAGAAGCCGGCGCAGGAGGCTGCTGTGCCGTTGAAGTTGGGTGGCAGGAAGAAGAAGGACAAGACCAATGGGGTGCAGAATGGAGTGGCTACGAATGGAGCCAGCACAAACGGCGTGGGAATGTTCGATCCGACTCAGAACAACGATGACGAGTTGATTGATGAGGATGCGTTGCTTTCGGACGATGATTTGAAGAGACCTCTTCCACGACGTGAGTTTCACTTCATATATTCTATTACCTTGTTAAACATGATGTTGACTATAATACCTCCAGCCCAAAACTGTGTACCAGAGACCGCCAAGAAGCGCCGGCGTCCCTGCAAGGACTGCACCTGCGGCCTAGCAAATCAACTCGAAGAGGAAGACCGTGCACGTGAGGCAAAGGCCGCCCAAGATCTCAACATTCTGAAGCTAAACACAGACGATCTGAACGACGAGCTAGACTTCACCGTGCAGGGCAAGACGAGCTCGTGCAACAGCTGCTCGCTCGGCGATGCGTTCCGTTGCTCCAGCTGTCCGTACATCGGACTGCCGCCGTTCAAGCCCGGCGAAGAGGTCAAGATTATGAATGATATGGTTCAGCTGTGAGGATGTTTTCTTTCTGGGTCTGGTTTTCGGGTCTTACTTAATATCCCCTAAAAGGTGTTTCATGGCGATAGATTTTCGGTAAGGTATTGTTATGAATGGCATGATTTGTTTTCTCAAGGATGTATGAAAGAAAGAAAGCTATTTCAAACTGGAAATTTTCTGTTGTCCTTTTTATAGTAAGTAGTTATATACGCATTAAAAGGTTCCATTTCGAAGCCAGGTTATAAAACAAGCCGACCTAATTCATTGTCTCTCCTTAGTATCCATAAATCAGATGCCAGATTGATCAAGTTCCTTCCATATTTATCCTATAATATTAATTCCATGTACGCAGGAAACAATCGCGGCTACTTCACACATCAAATAAACAGTGAGACACCGTTATCTCGCTGTCTCGGTGATTGAAGCCCTAACAACATCCAGAACAAGTAAATCGTGGACCCCTCCTAAGAACAACAAAACACCGAAGCAAGCTCTGTATACTAATCACAATATCTATTATAATATTATCTTTTTATAAATCCCATCATCAATCTTCCCCACCAATGCGATCCAGTTACATCCCAGCAAAACCGATGATATCACCGTAGCGACTGATGAGAAAATCACCAATAACCTTCCGCATCGATTTCTAAGCATCGGCATGAACCAAACGCCGAGGGAAATCACGACAGTTGTGTAGTATAAGTAGATACCCATTCCTATGTTCTATTCAAACCAATTTCATAACTTGATTCTGAACAATCCCAGCAATAACAGTACAAACTAACCAAATAAAGAAATAAAGAAACCATGGCCAGCAAACCCTTCGCTATCATCGCCGGCGTCGGTCCAGGAACTGTATGTCCCCCTTCGAATCAATCCCCTCTGATCACATCATCATCAATGCAATGAGTCCCATAACCCCACATCCCCACAATCAATCAATCTTCCTAACCATCCCATGATTATCGATGAAATAAGCATATCTAACAAAGAAAAACAAAAAGGGCGCCTCAATTGCCCGCAAATTTGCCCAAGCCTACTCCGTCGTTCTACTAGCCCGTAACCCAGCAAACTTCACCCCCGTCGTTGAGGAAATCAACGCAAACGGTGGCCAAGCAACGGGAATTAGTGCCGATCTATCAGATACAAACAGCGTCAAATCGGCCTTTGAGAAAATCAACCAGCAATATGGGGGATCGACGCTAGCAGCAGCTGTTTTTAACTCCGGGGGCGGATTCGTCCGTAAGCCGTTCCTGGAGTTGACAGAGGATGAATTCGTTTCGGGGTTTGAGGGTCAGGGGTTTGTTTCTCCATCCCATCCCATTCTAATCTTTCCATACCTTCTACCTAGTCCCTAGTGAACTACCACCTCGCCTTAGTCCTATATATATATAATAGGAGAAGGCTAACAAAAAGAAACAGAAAGGGAGGCTTCAACTTCGCTCAACGTACCCTCCCTCTCCTCGAAAAGGCAACCGGACTACAGCACCCACCTACCCTAATCTTCACCGGCGCAACAGCTAGTCTGAAAGGCTCAGCTTTGTTTTCGGCCTTCGCATCGGGGAAGTTTGCCCTCCGTGCGTTGGCACAGAGTCTTGCTCGCGAGTTCGGACCCAAGGGAGTTCATGTCTCGCATGTTATTATTGATGGCGTGATTGATATTCCGAGAACCAAGGCGTGGACCTTTGAACATGAGGATGCGAAGTTGGATCCTGGGGCGGTGAGTTACTTTCCTTTTCCTTTTTTCTTCTTTATTTTTGTTGTCTTTTTTGTGGGATGGATTTTGGATAAAGAGAGAGAGAGAGAGAGAGGCTGATTATGTTTTTAGATTGCCGATTCGTATTGGCATTTGCATACGCAGCCGAGGACGACGTGGGGCTTTGAGTTGGATTTGAGACCTTATGTTGAGAAGTGGTAGTTTGTTTTATTGAGACTGGAATGCGTGAGTTCCACTTGTCAGGTTGGGTTGTTCTGCCTGAGGAAGGCAGTGTACAAAGAGGAAAGGAACCCCATGATACTACTAAGCGGCTACTTTGCGCCATTTGACAAATGGAGGATACTATTGGTAGTTTATGAATTGGGAAATTGCGACTCCGAAGCCCTATCTGGAATAACAGTCTTAATGTGATTAGTCGTTTCTCTGTGTATCTTCCGCCCTGGAATCGTAGAAAGCGGCATCTGAGTCATGGGATAATGGTAGCTGTAAATTGTTTGAGTCGAAGTGCATGTTCGTGAGTTGGTTCAACTCAAGGTCCATGTCGAGGGGAGCATCGATGTCCCTTGTATCTATCATGTTCGATTTCATGCCGAGATCATCACCAACCGAGACGCCAGGTACAGACGCTGATGTCTGCCTGGGAAGTAGCGAGTAATCGATGGGTTGATCACTGGATGTAGGAGTAAACCCACTACTACTGAACTCCAGCGGAGAATTGAACGACAAAGGAACAGTATCCATAATAGTAGACTCCACAGACATCATCCAGGACGGATCTTGTGAGTCAGAAGATAGCAATGACCCACCAGTAGACCCAACCAGGTCAATACTCGATTGAGCATTCTCTGGATGCTGACACACCGGACCAAGTCTCCACACATTCAGCCATGAGCTATCCCGCTTCATCATATCGTCATCTTCAAACCAGGATTGAATCCTACGGAAGACTGTCGTCAACTTGGTAGCAGGCCATAGTGGTCCCCACCCTGCGAACATTTGTATGATGCAATGTAAACGGTTGGAGACTTGAAGTCGGTCTATTTGTAGTTGAGCATCTTCGTTAGACGATGTGATGGCTGCAAAATGAAGCTTGACTAGGATGAGCGCGGTGTAGATCATCCGGATCAGATGCATCGCTGGTAGAACTCGAATCGCAGACATGTCTAAGGAGGTAAAAACTTGGAATATGTGATCTATTGTTTCGACACATTCGCTGAATGTGTCTGCTGGGATGGTGATGGTGGGTGATGTCTGATTCTCTGATGATGTTTTGGCGTCGGAGGTGGCGTTTTCAGACGCTGCACAGAAGGCAACTTCGTTTATATACAAGGATGAGAAGTTATAGGAGAGTTGTAGAGCACCTGTGTAGTCAAAGTTGGCTATTTGCCGGATCCAAGTATCTATTTGAAGAAGGGAAGAGTGCTTACCATCGAGACCGTCTCCACGTATGCTGTTTCTCCAGTCACAGAGTTGTCGCTTAGACAAATGATACGATGCTTGGATATGCATTGCCCGTGACGACAGAGAAGCAGAAGCGCCTTTAAGTGACAGTTGCATTGCAGCTTCTTCGGTTATACGCTGTAGGCGAATGTGCTGACACAGAATCCTGTCGGATGGGAAAGCATCAGGAGAGGTTTCCAGAACTTCTAAACATTTATCCATACAGTGGGTCCATCTCATGACGTTCGGCGCCCGTAGAGACATAGAGGTACTAATATGTATCAGCAACAGCATGGATTGACGTCAGCTCTGTTCACCCACTTGGAACAAATGTAATGACAACCCAACCAGACTCTCCGAGCCCCAAGAAGCTCTGCCTGGGCACTCTGGTGTCGGTCGGCCTGCCCCTCCCCGGGCAAAGCTGAGGATTCCCTGTTCGTATTATTCAATCTGTCGCCTAGTCCCATGATTAAAGCCATGTTGGCAGCAGTATGACCAATCTGGTAAATATCCATCTGCTCTCCCGGCTCTAAAGGCTCAATTGACCGGTACCATGTGGCGGAAACGATCAACGCTTGCAATAAGCCGAGGGTGTATTGGTCGCTGCGCAGCATACAATGAACGTATGTCTGCACGATCAGCTTCCGGAGTCTTCTCTGAATCTCCAGCTCACAGAACCCAGACGATGCTACGTCAAGAATTGCTAAGAGGAGAATGGGGTTATCCTTCCGTACATCGGCTGCCGTTGTGCCTGGTGGGAAGACTACGGCTGGAAAGGCGGAAGCCATGTTTGTAATATAACGGTTGAAGATAATCTCGGTGGTGGCATGGTCAAGATACGGGGTGATACTTTTGGCCAGTAGCGACTGTATGCTGGTTTTAAGATCCACAGCTCCGGAACTCACTGCCTTGCGGGATAGAGGGGTGAGTAATGAACTGAGCGTAGGGTTATAAGTATTAGATAGACTAACCACTGGATGGTATTGGCAGGGCAGTCCCCACAGATGGACCCCAGCTAGGTTGTCCAGGAACATGCGACATAGGAGCCAAATCAGTAGGCCACGGTGGCAAGGACTCCGTGCTAGGGCGAGCTCGGTTATCAGTGGCCTCTTGTTTTACAGCAGATGAGATCATCTTATCGATCTTAGACTGTATCTCTAGAATGCGATTGTTCAACTGTTGATGGTTCTTCTGCGGTTTCTCCGCAGGAAAACATGGTTTGCAGGCCCTTTGACATCTCAAGCACGGCATACCAGGGGTCTGCTGGTTGCATTTCACTTTGGAAACATGGCAGGAGTGACATGCTCGATGGGTATTACTGTTGGTTGATTGTTAGTATTATAGATAGCTATGCCAACTATCATATATGAACTCACGTATTTTGGCCTGGAGCCAGTCCATGTTGTGATTGCTCAGCAGTCGTTTCTGCAGTTGCTTTTGAATCCCATGTTTCCATGTCGTCAGACGAGTGGAACCTCATATGAGGGGTAGAAGGAAACAAAGCTGCTCCACTGGAGAATTGATGGTAATCCTATTAATAGTGAAATGACCCCCTGAGAAATTACCAGGGTGTAGTAATTCAAAGCGAGTGGCTCTTCTAGTCGTCAAGCCAAGAACACCACTAGCCAGAATTTCAAGGCTGGAGCGATCGGTGAACTTTTGGACCCCAATTATAGGTGCATGTTGGGCCAAGACTTGGACGGCAAGGGTCGTATTTGGATCTGATAGTCGGGCGTACAACTTTTTCAGATTTCATCCAAGACACCAAAGTATTGCAAAATAATCTCCACGAACAGCTATCGGGTTTTTGTTGCTCGTCGTGTTGTTCTCGCAGCATAGTCCAGGTAAAGCGCTCCATCTACCGTGTGTGTGTGTGTGTGTGTGTGTGTGTGTGTGCTGAGATTGCCCCACGTATGATCCTAGCATAAGTTTAACCATACTAACTAGTGGAGATTTAGCGATACTGGAGGTATAGTGTGTGGTTAAAGAGCATTTATCTCACCTGTATTTACTCCGGTCTTGCATGTTGGCCGGTCTTGTCACATCTTTCTTATTGCATAATACCTGAGCGGCGGAATCACACCATGTCCCTCACATATCAGTGCGTATGGAAGCGAAATGACCTTTATGATAAAAGAAATTAACCCAGCTGAGTGACGCGCAGGGAAGCATGGAACCTGTTTCAATATGAGGATTCGCCCTCATCACTCAATAAGAGTTCGAATGCGCAAATCCCGCAACTCGCAGACAATCCTACTTCTCCAGCAGATCCCACCGTAACCCCAAAACACCAAACAGAGAGCCCCAGTAGCGAACTGATCACAGAGCTCCGACGTCTGCGCGAAGACCTGCAACGTCTCCAATTTACAGGGTATTGATATCCCCAACCTGAGCCATCGGTAACTACTCAGTAAAGATAGAGGCTATTGACATTGCTGGTCCGATTATAGATCCCAAGAAGATGCGTTAGATGTCGTCCCTTCAACGAGTAATCGATTAGATTCCGATTCACCGACACCGCAGACGACCGCTGCCGTTCGCATGAACCAAGCATCTCAGAAGTCAGATACTCTTCGTTGCTGGGAGTCATGCTGTAACGGTCGTGTCTTTTCCAACAGAAGTAACTTAATTCGCCACCAGCGAGAACGACGTGGTGAATCGGCGAAGCTGCGATGTTCTTTTTGTGATGCGGTTTTCTCACGTCGAGCAGCGAGAGATACTCATGAGGCTGCTAGACGATGCCGTCGTCGGTTGTGATTTGAAGCGGATGTTTTTTCAAAAGATTAGAATTAGAGGGAATGCATGCGTAATGGTCTTGGAGCAGATAGCTTTCCATAGTTTGTTATTAACGGATTAAATATCCTGCAAGCGTGGTAGAGGCTGTTCAAATCTCGTAGTTGGCGTCGTAGAAAGCATGTAAAAATCAAATCTCATGCCATAATATTCGTTGTGTTTCGTCGACATAACCCAAGAATGGAGGAAAGATGAAGTCCATCCGCCCGCCAAAAATTCAAGTCGATCGGAATACAGAAGGGATGCAGTGAGTTAATATAGCTCTTTGGAATAATTAAGATAATCGAAGTAAATACTGTTGAGCCAAAATTATGGTTGACGGATTATGTTGGTTGGATGATGGATCGTGTGTGCCTGGAGGATCGAGGGATTGTTATGATCCCTCATCGGTGAAGGATCACCGACAGACAGAGGATCAAAAAGGCGAGCCCTACCAGCACATCTGCGACGAGATAATATCACACTTGAGATTAAATTACCATAACATAAACACTTTTACTCCATTTAACTATATCAGCTCTTTCTTCTCGATATCCTTTATTTATTTCTCTTTCCCTTGTTCACCTCCACCAACCATGGTCTCCCTCAAGATAGTCCAAGCATCCAACGCCAGTCTACGGACAATCCCCAACCTCACAGCCCTATTCGTCGGAGGCACAAGTGGAATGGGCCAGAGCACACTCCGCCAATTTGCCAAACACATAGACAGCCCAACAGCATACATTATCGGCCGGAGTGAATCACGAGCAAAGCCCTTCCTCACCGAACTACAACAACTGAACCCAAAAGGCCGCTTCACCTTCATCGAAACCGACATATCACTCATCCGCAGCGTAGACACAGCCTGCAAGCAGATTCTCCAACAAGAAAAACACCTTAACTTCCTCTTCATGACACCCGGAGGCATCTCTCTCGGAGGCCGAAAGGAGACCACCGAGGGAATCGACTATCTTTTCGCTCTTCGCTATTATGCACGCATGCGTTTCGTCCAGAATCTCCTTCCATTACTTCAATCAGCAGGCCCAAGTCGAGTAGTGAGTGTATATGGTGGCGGATTCGAATTCGGTATCAACACCGACGATCTAGATCTCAAGCATAACTTCTCCCTGCTCAATGCCTACAAACACTCTATCACCATGACCTCCCTGAGTATGGAATACTTGGCTAAGGCTCACCCAGCCGTTAGCTTTATCCATGTCTATCCCGGTCTAGTGGGTACAAACATCTACACAAACAGTTTCCCACCGCCTATCTCGACGTTCTACAATTATGGAATGTGGCCTTTAATGTGGCCGTTCTCCGTCGGTCTCCAGGAAAGTGGAGAACGGCATCTGTTTCATCTAAGCTCTGCGCGGTACCCGGCCAAGAAAAGTATCATGGCCCAGGGTGTTCCCGTCGAGTCAGGAGATGTTGCGCAAGGCACGACTGGAGAGACAGGCAGTGGAGCATATCTCTTGAATTGGAACGGGGAGGTTCGACCGAGCCGAAAGATTATGGAGGAGTATCGGGTGCAGCGGGTGCCGGAGTTGGTATGGAGGCATACCGAGGATCTGTTGGATCGGGCTGTTCGTCGGTGATTTGACCGTTTTCTTTCCGTTTATATCTCGGAGTGATGCCGTTAACCTGTAAAGAGAAATGTATGATCAGCGGAAGACGTTAGATGAAGATTGGGCGTGGAGTTCGTATTCAAACAAGGAATGATGAGCGCCTGTCTAGAATTATGCATAATACCAATATAAAGCCAACAATCATGGACCTTCAGCCATGCATACAAGCAGACCCTTGATACGCACCCCTCAATCGCCCCCAGACAAAACCAATATCAAACCTGTAAACAAGCTTTAGATAATGATTCTGATAAATGAAGGCCTAAGAAAATGACATCATCTAGCAGCCTATCTATCGCCAAGTGCCAAACTAACCCAGAGCAGCAAACCAACCCTCCGTACCGAAAAAGGAAACCAAGCCCTAAGGTCCTTAGAAAACACTGCATCGGCCCAGATACACCGAGACTACATTCAAATCGGCCCCCGAATAGAACAGAAAATCATTAACAAAAGTGGTGCAGTTCCGATGTGTTGATCATGCAATTTACAGCCATATCCCGGTGGGGTTAATATAGAGCTACATTAGCGTGGTGTCGCAGATGCAAAACAACCGTGCAGATCTGTGTCCGGGCCATTCCGTTTATTCTGGGAACATGGTCTAGGGGATGGGGATAAATACCCTGGGTTCTGTCGCTGATTCCTTTTATTTTTATTTAGCTTCTATTGTTTACCATTGTTGAAAGGTGAACTCAATCGAACATTGGATATTGTCAGGATGAGACCTATTACGCTCCTTTCCCTTGCTTCTCTCGCTTATGCGGAGAACCTCATCCCCACCACTTGTTTCGACTCCTACACTTCCCTGGAAGAGTACTTCTCCTACCTCTACCCATGGGGTAGCGACCATAACGGCTCAGCCCGTATGGTCGGCAACTCCACCGACCACGATTACGTCTCCGTCGAGTCTGGCACGCTGACGCTGGTCGCAAAGCCGACCTCGGGCCAGCCGGCAACCAGTGGCGGCCAGGAGATCAACTATCTCTCTGGCGCAGTGCATTCCAAGAACACGTTTACTGTTGAAGCGGGCTCTGGCTTCGACATCGAGGCTGAGTTCCAGGCGACTACTGATAAGGGAACTTGGCCAGCTTTCTGGTTGAATAGTGCGGAGAGCTGGCCGCCCGAGATTGATATGGCCGAGTGGAAGGGTTGGTGTTGCTTTGTTAGCTATTTGTTGTCGGTTTGTGGCTGATATTTGGAACAGGAACGGGGCAAATTACCTTCAATGTCTTCAATGTACGTTTTTTTTTTTATCTGATATCATATTCATAAGCCAGTACAGCTAACAGCAATATTGCAGACCTCTTCCGAAGTCATGAACCACAACACGGACTACCCGTCTCCTAGTGACTTTCACAAGGTTAAAACCCAGGTCCGTGCCGAGAACGACGCCGATATCATGGTTAAGTACTTCCTCGATGATGTAGAGGTTACGACTCAATACGGGGCCGACTATGTCGGGAAGCCTTTGTATCTGTGAGTACTTGATAAGTCCTAGAGAGGGCGGGAGATGTTATATATGATTTACACAGGTTAACATGCTGCAGGATTATCAATTTGCAGATGGAGGGATCATCCGGATCCCCTGGACCTAGCACTGGTTAGTATATCTCTGGTACAGATGTTGGAGAATTGGCTAACTGAATAATTAGACACCTACTACCGTGTGAAGAACCTATCCTTTGATCAGATCTAGAGGTGGCTTAGATCTAGGAAGGACATCGGAGAATAGCTGGTAGACAGGAGGCCTTAAGGACGATCGCAGTGGAAATTAGCGGTCGCACAACGTTGTAGGAGCTCGAGGATCTATCGTCATATCAGTAGACTTTAAGGAGAATTTAGCCCTTTACAAATTGACTTTTCTTTAGATGACTGACTGGATACTCTGGCAATAATTTCTACGCAAGGCACAAATAGGTGATGTATAAAGCATAAACCACAACCCACCCAGCCATAGTGCAAAACTAAATGCTATGAATCTTTGTAGTAGTGTGGCATAACCTTACTTTTTTAATCTGGCCTCAGGGGATAAGTGAGTATACGCAGATAGGGCGAGATTCCCAATTGGTGGCTAAGGAACAACTATGGTCTTGTGGTTTCTACATATCTTAATATCTCACTGGGGTGTTTTAGTTATTGCCTACCTAGTTCAGCAATGCACGGATCAGTTGATTCCATAACTGGCACTATCATGTGCCGCCTAACAACCTCGCACGACCTAATACCGTGACATCCCTTCTGAGATATCATTCTGGTGGCATTTTCCGTTTTTTACTAGGATTCGGGTTATACTGTTAGGAGATCCTCCATGCAACTGCAGTAACTTGACTATAGACGGGTCCCCACTTTTCTCAGCAAGCAACAGGGGTGTCCAACCATGACTACCTTTAGACGTTGGATCAACGCCGTGCTCTAGAAGTAGTCTGATGGCTGTGTAATTCCTTTTCTCCACAGCCCGCAACAGAGGTGTAACCTCTTCAAGGTGTTCACCAGAAATACCCCCATTCTGAAGTTCAGTTCGAATTTGTTGTAGGGCTCGCTGTGATAGCCACGGAAGTTAGAATCAGTGATCAATTGCCGTATTGAAGCAGATAAGGTTCACTAACATTTCTTTCTTGAATTTCCGGTAAAGGATTAATTACCTCGCATAGTGTCTGCCACATATGGAATAGCTGTTTGTACACTTCATTCGCAGAACGGTTGCGAAGTGGTTTACGTCGAGTGTTTTCTAGTCTTGGGTCAAGGTCTGGATCCACAGTTTGCATCAAGAATTCAAGAAGGTCATTGGTGATAAGAACACAAATATTCTCCTGGTAAGTATTCAGGTCTTTATCATCAATATCTTCAGGGTTCTGTAACAGTCAAAAAAGGCACCATCAGTACCAATTCGCCTATTAAAGCATCGTATTCGCTTACAAAGATCTGAACATCATCACTTGTAAATCCAGCAAGCGCCTATGAAAGCCGAGTATAGAGTCTCAGTCATTACTTCATTGCCTCAGGTAGTTCATGTACACTTACACTTAGAATATCAAGCCCCGCAAGTCTCCGTTCTGTATGTCGAACAAGATCGAGTCTATACCAATAGTTCATCTCGGAGCCGTTCTTGAGGAGCATCTCGATACCTGTATCAAATGCGCGCTCGATTGACCAAGCTAAAGGCGTGCTATAGCTTTTATCCGTTATATTAACATCAGCTGCGTTCTCCAGGAGAAGTGAAATTACCGCCTCATGCTGTCCCCAGGCCGCCCAGTGCAGTGGTGTCGCTCCAAGCTTATCCTTACTGTTGATACTGGCCCCTGCCAGAAGTATCTGTTTCACCGCTGCCTCATGACCTCTTGCCGCGGCGTACATCAATGGCGTTCGATTATCATCATCATTAGAGTTCGGGTTAGCACCTTTGAGCAACAGTTTCACTATCACCTCATATCCTCTTCCTGCGGCGTACATCAATGGTGTTCGACTTTTTTCATCTTCCAAATTAGGTTCCGCACTATTCTCGAGCAGCAATTTCACTACTGCTTCGTGGCCTCTCTCCACAGCGTAAAGCAGTGACGTCCGACTCTTGCCATCTTGCAGATTCGGGTCTGCGCTTTTCTCAAGAAGCAATTCCACTACTGCTTCATGGCCACGCTCTCCGGCGTAAAACAGTGGGGTCCGACCCTTGGCATCTTGCAAATTTGGATCCGCGCTCTTCTCAAGTAGCGTTTTTACTACCGTCTCTTGGCCTCTCTCAGCTGCGTAGAACAATGGTGTCTGGCCATTTGAATCCCGAGCATCTGGGCTTTGCGTATTTTTGAGAACCAATGTAATTAATTTCTCCAGCCCAAAGGACACAGCAAGGTGTACTCCTGTTATCTGACGGGGTTTTCCTTTGCTATAGTCAAGTAGTTCTCCAGAGAGCAGAGCCTGGTAGGAGGCAGATACCTTGGCTTCACTATCAAGAAAGCGTAAAAATGAGTGTTGTTCTTCCACTTCTTCTATTGAAATGAGTCGAGCGTGATGGCCCCAGTTTCGTGCGGCATAGTCATAGAGGGGATGGAGCCTCAGCCGCTCTTTGAATTTACCGTGTGTCTCACAACAGCCGCTTTCGAATGAGCTAGATGAGAGATATCTAACGCAAGTTGTCGCAATATCTGACTCTACAGTTGGAAACCATTCCTCCTTCGTTCGATTGAAGTATTCTTGTGTCGTATAGTGGACCAAACGGATGATGTCGCTCTCTTTATCAACTGTCACCAGCCCAGCGCACACAGAGACAATATCTTCGATCTGGGGAAGGTTGTCGTCGAGATCTGGTTCGTCAACCTCTCTTACTGTTAGGGCATACCGAAGTTCCAACGTAGTCAGCGGTCGCTTTGCGCAGGTGGTCCATGACAGAACCTGCTTGGCGAACTTCACAGTCATTGGACCCTGGCGATTCACCCTACCCATAGCTTCCCGATAGGCACAATCATAGGCTTCGGAGCCCTTCGGAAGCGTATTCAGTGCGGTCTTAATATGTATTGGGAATTTCATATCCATAAGTGAGTCTAGATGGAGTTTTGCTAGGAGAAACCTGATTAACTGTTAGCTGAGCAGATCATCTTGAGAGTAATACATACATTCCATCAGCTGCTTCTACAATTGCGGTCGACACTCTTTCTCTGAGATCCACGCGTTTTAGAATGTGTGATTCGCCTTCCAGACTAATTCGATTGTCCAGATATTTGCGTACATCGTCATGGCAGGCACGGATCTCTAGTGATTCACTTCCAGTAAACCTTTCTATAATTTCGGGGATGAACCTCGAAGTAGCAAAGAGGTTCACGCTACTCTTCGCCTGGAGAGCGAAAACTTCTGTCAAAAATCTTGCCCCGCAGCCGTCGGACGGTTGGCATTCATCCAGTGCGTCGATGATAATGAATACCCTGGAATACATGACAGCTATAGATTGCAAGGCACTCGCAATTTCTTCACAGGATGGCCGTGTCCGCGTGTTTATGTGCTTATCGTGTAGAGACCTCACAGTTGCTGGCAGAGAAGGCTGACTTTGAGCCAACTGTTTCAGCAAACTAGATAACATGTCTTCGGGCTTCTGTTCATCTTGCCGCTGGAAGTTGTAATAGAGGTACGCTATCCCAACATTACGGTCGTCTCTGAATCGTGTACTCAAATCGTCGACGACAATTGAGGAGAGAATTGTTTTCCCTGCTCCAGGAATACCTGGACAGAATAACGTCTGCTTATCCGTTTCAAGCCACGTTTGGTACTTTGTAGAGTCCAGAAGCCATTGGCCAGTCCCTTGTTGTCGCCTCCTAAGGTTGTCGCTTTGCCGAGGGCCGTAGTCAATCTGCGTTATCCAGTCAAGAATGGCTTGGTGTTCTTGATCACGTTTCTCATGGAGGATTTCCCCAACGTCTCTCGACATTTGACCGACTGTGCCTTGTACCTCTTCGTGATTAGACAAAATTAGTACTTGCTAAAAGTTATTGTTCTTAGCCGCTGTTAGAATAACCGGAGAGAATGTCACCAATCCTCCTCTCAGCCTCAATTTTATTTGGCGAGATTCGGTCCAGCAGATCTCTCGCATACGCAGCTGCCACCATCGCCGCATACCCTTGCCACTTCTTATTCTTATGAGAGTCCGAGTAGTCGCATATACCATGAATCATCAGACAGGGAAAGTGATTCATCAGCCCTGCCGCTTCCATTTCAAAACACAGAACATCCATTTCTGCTGCAAGTCTATCCCGTACAGAGGCATCCTTCATCAGCTGGTTTGCCGAAGCAATCAAGCCGTAATGAATAGCTGGATTATCCTTATCTTCCGTCCGTTTGGGCCGCGAAATCAAGTGGAGCGGATCATCCCCACAGAGTTCCTCGCAGTCTGCTTCTCCGTTCAAAGGATGAATAATTCTACTTAGATATAATCTGTCGGTGCTCAGGTCCGGTCGCTGATATCTCTTCTTCAGTCTTGGATTTTTCTCGAGGATATCGTTGATGGTTTGTTCCAGTCGGTGCCTTTTGCTCTTATACTGCGCCTCAAAATGACTCACAGAAGACCGGAGAACCGTTGGTGGTTGGTTCAAGCACCCCGTGGATTGGAACTTTTGATTCTGTATTGTTTTACCAAAATCGTACTGGAATACACCACTCTTCCCATCGCGAGGAATACTGACTACAATATCACCCAGACGGATGTCATGCTTTCGGCTTGGTACACCCCCACCGATTCCCACCATTAGACCGATTCTGATGTTTGGAAAGCTGTGTAGCATGTCTCTTGCGACGCATGCCGCGGAGGATAAGCCATACTCTCCGCTAGGCAAGCCTGCAATGACAACATTATGCCGCCCAGCTCACCCTAGAGTGTAACTATTATTGTCGTTCGGGGATACACAGTCCGGTCCCTCGTGCTCTTCGTCCAGAAATTCTCTCGCAGCTACGAGTTCTGGCTTTATGGCGCATATCCAGCCGACCGTGTAAGCGTCAGGTGCGAATTGCTGCATATTCTCTAAGTCGACGTCTCTCTTCAACGTCGTCGGTATTTTGGGTAGCCCTCTGGGAATACATCAACGTTTTGAGTCTTCAAGTGAATAACCATGCACGTAGAAGATCAATTGAGCTCAGTTCTGCTTGGTTGCAGAATTTCTTGGAGCAGTTCTCATGGGTTGAACGTCTCAAATGAGGAGAAAAGAGCGGCGAACGGAACAAGGCTGAAGACTCAACTGCAGCTAAACCGCCTAACCAACTAGAGCAATTCTGCCTCGTACTTTATAACGGAGTGAACTACAGCCTAATGGCCTGTGCCATTATGCGTTTGCTTCCATATTACCAGCCAATAAAGTCGATGAAACCCCTGCAGCCCAACCCGAATCTAACTATAGTTAGAATAGCTTCTATCATGTGGATGAAATGGGTTTAAGTGTGCTAACCGCGGGAGGTAGAATAGGGAAACCCCGTTGCCAATGCGCCCTGGAACCAATTCTTATTCGCCGTATGTCGTTGACAGTATCTCAGTCCGGGCGAGGCTGACGGCTTTTATAAAGCGGCACCTGACCTGTCACTTCAGTATAGTCGACATAGAAAGCTCTGTTTATTTAATCACTGCCAGTTCGGCACTCCTAGGGGGTAACATTCTGGTATGGTCCCATATGCCTGGATGGTGCCTATATATATTAGCCGCGCTGTGTCAATAAAACAAAAATATCACTAAAATTAGAAGTTCTGTAGACTACTATAGAATTCCTTTCAAATTGTATTTATTAGACATTCTAGCAGTTGCATATAAAGTAGATCAGGTCAATCAGACAATCTACCTAGCTTCTACTCCGTAGGGTTGGCTGACTTGACCTATGAACACAAACTCGCACAACTGCATAATAAAAACGCTGACTAAGCCGCATAACAAGCCATAACGTCACAGCATCACACAACCAACTCCATCCCTCCACAAAGACTACATTCTCCATTCCCACCCCCCGTCTCACTCGCCCACAAAGCACACCCAAAAAATACACAAAAAAAGATGGTCCTAGAGAACGCCCAAGCAGACTCTATCCCTCCAACGGGCGTCGAGCCAACCAACGACAGCGACAACACCCCAAACACAAAATATCAGTACCACTCGCTCTACATAAAACGCGACCTAATCGCCAACCCGGACCCATTCACCCTCTACTTCGGATTCTTTGGGCGGTGGAACTACGACCGAAAAGTAACCGCCAATGTACTTCGCCGAGTCGAAAATGCGCGCGTTCTAATCCAGCGTCTCCCTACACAAGACGAACTAGATGCGATGGTCACACACAGCAGTCGTAGCTTATACCAGGAGCGGATTGGCGCGCCATTGGGAGGACTCGTCGGGTCAGGGCTGTTGTGGATGCAGGCCAGGAAGTCGGAGTTGTTTCCGGCTTATTTCCCCAAGGCTTCAGGGCCGGAGGGGAAGATGCCGTCTCCCGGGGAGATCGTGCAGGCCGCGAAGAGGTTTGTGGCTGCTGAGCCCACGATAGCGAGACGGGCGATTTTTGTGACGGGGTTCAAGTTGTTGTTCTATAGTGTGGCGGGGGCGACGTTCTCGAGTATTTATGCAGTTTATAAAGAGACGACGAATACGATGGCGGATTCGCGGTTGAAGGAGTTCTTGGCGGATTTGAAAAAACAGAATCCCGAGGAGCTAAGGAGAAGACAGATGGAGTCCAGGGGGCGGAGGTCGGTGGGTGAGCAGCAAGGGGTTGTTGAGATGAATCAGGGTGGTGACTACGCTTCGGAGTATTCTGGTGGTGACGTTCAGTCTACGGGGGTATCTGGTCCTGATCGTCCTCCGGTGGCAGAGCCTGTTAGTCTTGGTGGTGGATTGGGTGCAGATCAAGCCCGTGGAGGAGATTTCTTCGACGAGGATGATGCGAGTCCCACGGCGCCTGAGTATAGAACCAATCGGGGCGCGCAGGCTGGTTACTCGCAGGGAAGTGCCTGGGAGCGGATTCGACAACAGAATGCTTCTGCGCCTTCTATTCAGTCCAGTCGCCAGGATACATCCAACCAGCAGTCACCACAGTGGGACTCATGGAGCCCCCCATCATCAGAGAGTGACAAACAGCGGGAGAGGGAGCAAGCTCGTGCGGAATTTGAGCGGTTATTGGACGCGGAACGGAATATTGGACAAGAGTCGGCGAGCGAAGCGCGCAATAAAGGCTGGGGAAAGTGGAATTGATTGCCCTCTAGTGGACTGACATAGTGTATTATACTAACTACCCTTGGTTCTGCGATACAGTAGGTTCCGAGTCTAGGATGTGGGCTCATCAATGTATATTAATTGTATGTGGCATATTTTTGGCATCGTTCATAAACATCATATTATCATCTAGCCCGATTATCACTAATAGTGGTAGAAAACCAAGGAAATCAAAGCATTGTGAGAGTGACGGAAGCCTGTGCACAATATCGCAACAGGAACCATCTCAATCCCAGATACAAAGGAACTTTTCCTTGTCCTTGCGGACCCGATCTGAACAAGAAGAGTAATACGCGGGAATAAGCAAAAGTCCAAGAAACGCACACAGACAAGTTCACCGTGTGTTACTCAGGGGACAACAATTTGTCATACTGTCCGGAAGGGTATACATCCAACAACCGCATAATGCCCTTTAATGAGTCATAACAGGGCGTAACAGGAGATAAAAGGAAATGTCGTTAGTCATCAAGGTCCGAGAAGCAGACCACGTCTAGAAAATGAAATGCTAGTAGCAGAACAAAAAGGACATCGAAGACAAAAACAAACCAGGTAAAAAGGGGGGAAAGAAAATTTTTTAAAAAAAAAGAAAAAGAAAAAGAGAAAGGAGAAAAATAGAAGGGTACAGACAAAGCAAAGACCGGCGGAGAGTGTCAAAATGGCCTAAATGCGATTGCCGGCAACTGGTATACTTTCATACGGAAAATGTGTTTCATCCCAATTATCGGGTGCCCGATTAACACTGCCCATACGCGCCAGGTTGCGAATCTTACTGGAGAAGCTTTCGTTCACGCTTTTGCCGCGTCGGTGCTCAAAGGACATACGACGGCGATGTAATGTCGGTTGTGTCTCCATGCTCACCGCGGGTCCGGCCGTCATAGCGCGAGGTAGGAGCTTTCCCATGTTCTCGTTGTCAATAGCGATGTCTATGGTCCCTGAAGACTCGCGAGGAGAAGCACAATCCATCACAGGAGCAGGTGGTGGCGGGGGTGGGAGAGCGTTCAAGTGCTGCAGCTCTGGTAACATAGGAGGAGTTTCGTAATGTTTCAGTTCCATCGCATTCTCGATTCCCTCCTCGATGCTGATATCCACTGGAGAGCCTCCGTAGCTGTATCCGCCTTGTTCTTTTGAGCTTTCCCGGCGATGGCCCATGTTCCGGGTTCTGCTGGTTGAGCGGCTTCTCGGGAGGTGTGGATTAAATCGTGGATGCATTGGCAGGTCGGATGGCACTGTCCCAGGTTGTTGTATTTCGGGCACTGGAACAGACATCGAGCGACCAATTCTCTCAGCATCGGCCTGATACCTGGCGTTACTCAGTAGAACAGTGCTGTCCGCAACATTCGGAACAGATGGAGCAGTCTCCTGGTTATACTTTGGGTGTCGCATAGCCCTGGGTGTTGTGGCCAGCCCCGGCGGCCCGGACTGGGATGAGTTAGAGTCCGAGCTACTTCGGTGCTCTGGAGGTGCTTTGCTCGATGAGGCCCTCCGTCGACCTGGTGTACGTGGGCCAAAAGAATTGGCAGAAAATGGGGGGCTTTCTGGAATAGTGCGACTCAAATGCAGTTCTCCCGGAAAGGGGATGTTGGGCGCGGATGGATTCCGCGCGAGCGAGAGCCGTCGTGCCTCTAGTTCAGCCGCTGCGAGCTCCTTCCTTCTGTGTTCAGAGAGCCCAATGTGTGGTACGGCGGGAGGTACAGTGGCAGAGTGAATGGCCCGGCTGTCCTCCGTCGACATCTCATGGTCGCTTTGAGGTACTATCTCGACGACAAGACCATGGGGAGTTGTACCCATGTCATACTGTTCATGTTCCGTCCCGATCTTGGGCTCGGTATCATGGCGACTCCGAGATCTCGCCCTTGCTTCTGCTTTCCCTTTGTCCGGACGTCGGCTGCTGCTTCGCTGTTGCGATCTCCGTTCTCGATCGCTGGCTACTAGCCTGAAAGCATCATCTGTGGTAGACGTGGGTAATGGAGGTGAAGGCGATCTATCGTAGAAGTCCTTCCTGTCAGCACTGCGTCCACGGTCATGTTTCTCGGTGCCGACCCGATTAGCTGTATGCCGACTAGAAGAACGATTGTTCCGACGCTCTGATGAGTTTCGGGAACGTGGCTTCCTAACTCTACTCGCACTGCGTGTCTTTGAACGCTGTTTCGTTCGACGAGTATCATCGTGATTCTCCTCAGCGGCGTGGTAACGGGCTATCTCTTCGGGGGACATCGGGACCGGCGAGGAAGGAGACCGCTTGGCGGGTGGGATATACCTTCTTTCGTGTCGCTCACGTGCTTGCTGGGATGTGTTCCTAGAGTGGTGCCGTCTTTCTGAAGTCTGACTGGCCGTTTCATCCGTAGTTCGCGGTCCTACACCATTGGAGCGATAGTTGTGATGCCTCTTTGAGTGATAATTCGCCTCGTCAAGGCTACTGATATATTGCTCAATACTCCTTCCACTAACACTTGGGCTCTTTGCGGAGCTGAAGCTGTTCAAAGTTGATGCTGGGCTTCTAAAGTTACCACTATCCCATTGGTCGGCGGCATCAGTACCAGAGTGTTCAGCAGGATGCAAATAAAGCTGCAGCCCATCGGGCTTCCTATCCCTAGATCCATTGCGACTGTCAGATCGGTCTTTCAGAGCCTCAAAAAGCCCAGATACTGGAGAAGGCATTCCCTTGATGCCTGCAAACTTGTCCGTATTTGTTTGAACAGCGGTTTGCGGACTTGGTTTGAACGCGTCATCGGGATCATACGTAGCAGAAGGCAGCAGGCCAATCTGCTCTTCTTTCTCGTTACCGGGCTGGTCCTCTTGATCATCATTCTCCGAAGTTGAGCCATAATCGACGAGCTTCTTGGAACCACTGGATGGAAAAGTTGGCGGTTGCACGTCAACGGGGGTTTCCCCAATGGAAGATAGGCGCCCTCTACTAAAGGCGGGGGTACCGGTTCGGGAGCTCATCGCATTGTTCAGACTCTGGATGTTATTCAGTTTGTATGAACCAAAGCCTCCAGGAGACAATGCTGAGTCGGCTACAGCGGATTCAGCAATGGGCGTAACTCCGGGCACATTGGTAGGTGTCCTATCATCCGACTTTAAACCAGGCAATCGGAACTTCTGGCTAGGTTGCGAGTCAAACGACGTAATGAGCTTCAGGGCCGGAGTCTTAGCTTGTCGGCTATTGGAAGGCTTTGTCTGAGAGTGTGGCGGTAGAAGACCTGACGGGTTGGGATAAGGAGGCTCCGGGGAGGTAATTGGTGATTTTATCGCCATCATCTCGGCAAAGGAGGCAGCCTGTTGTGCAGCTGGAGAGGTCCAAGGCTCCGAAGGTTCGACTCCCGTGCACATAAAGCACCGTATTGCTAGCTGCTGCTGGGAGTGTGAGACAACATGCTCCCCCCAGCGACGGACGAGATATGATTGACGCTGCCAATCTGTGGGAGTCACCAGGCACGCCATCAGGATAGCTTCCATATAATAGCTCTGGGAGACGTAAACTTCAATAGCATCATTCTTATCGCCAAGCCCCAAAAGAATCGTAGCTGCAGTATGCACGTCACCAACTTCCAGAAGCTTCTGAACGAAGGCCTGTCCGACCTTGTTGGCTTGTGATTCGCCACTCATCTGGCTAAAAGCAAGAAGCATCCAATCTGCTGTTGAGGCTGAACCTGCGCTAAGCATTGACACCATTTGGTCTGTGTCGGATTCCCCTAGCCACTGGGCGAGTAGAATAGCGCTCTGAGTTCCCGGTGTGTGGCGGCTAACTGAGACAGAATTTAGCAAAGATATCTAGACAGGAAGCACCAAGTATTTCATACGTTCATCGTTGATGAGTCCATCAATATCATGATCCCAGCCGAAGACCAAGCTGAGCATTTGACGACGGAGATCGTCTGGCGTGAGATGAGACTCATCCAGGGGCTGTTGGCGGCTATATGGCACATCGTTGAGCCGTTCCCGTGTGAAAGGAAACAGATCCATGCGTTTATCTGCTGGGCTGGGTTGGACCTCGTTTCGCAAACGAGAGCCGGCACGGGAGCTTTTCACAGACGACATAGATACGGAAGAAGCATACGCATAAGATGCACCAGATGCCTGAGGGGTATCTCTACCACTAGCGGAAGTGAGTGAAAAGGATGTAGCGGTGTGACCCGATCTACTTGGGGATGAAAATGGGACCGTCCTGTACTTCCCTGAGGAGGCCTTTGAGCTCACGGTGTTTGCCTGACTTCGTGAAGAGACTGGACTAGTTAGCTCGGCACGCTGTTGACGTACAGCTTCGATTCCGCTCGGATCAAACGGAGCTCGTCTTGTGCCGTACATGGCACCAGATTCCTTCATCTCCGGTGGGTCTTGGAGCATGCGTGCTGACACACCACGGGCTCTGGCCTCCTCAGATGTTGGTAAGACTCCACCGGGAGGATGCTGCACGTTGGCGACTAATCCTGGGCTCTCAAGATCATACTGCTGTACGGTGTGGTGAGGCCCTAATGTAAATAATGTGGCTGTTGGTCCATAATTGGCGAACCCACGAGGATTGTCAATCGTCGGAACTGGCTCCGACGTGACATGTTTGGTTCGCACATCCCAGGCCCATGTCTCACTATCAGCAGCTGTCAGTGATTTTAACCGCAGAATGGGCGAGCATCAGAGTTGCAGCGCTATCTTACCCCTCGAGATACTGAACGATCCTACCATTCTTCGACCAGGCCATCCACTTAGGCTCGGTGGAGGAAGACGTGTCCGATCTCTTGAGAACCCTGATTACCCGCGGCACATCTTTACCAGCGGGCTTAGCCACGCTCCATACCCTCAGATCACCGTTTGCAGAAAGGGTAGCAAGCATATCCGACTTTTGTTTTGACGATGATGCATGCCATGCCAGCGAGACGATCCGGGACGGCCCGCGGGAGGTGCTCATCGTATGCAAGATAGCAAATGTGGGGTGAAGAGTAGCTATCAGAATTGATCCATTCTGGTATCTAGCTTTTTGTTAGTATGATTTGAACTTGACTTTTCACGACCTTAACTAGCAAGATAAGAAATAGATGCATACCCAATGGCGTAGGTTCGACAGTCTGATGACGGCGCCAAAGCCGTGATAGGGTCGAAGATCGTCCGGCAAGAGATGTGCTCGGATGTGGATGGTTCAAACAAGATCACGTCACCCTTTACGTTTCCTACAGTCGCATCAGCCCAGGTACCAAACAATACATAGAGGTAAGGTAGATGTACCGAACGCTACATTGCCATTGCGCATCCAAGCGGCTACCTTGAGCCGGTCAAAGGACGCGAACCGTGCGATCACCGAGCCGGTAAACAGATCCCAAACAATTGCCGTCTGACTAACATCATAGCTAACGACCAGTCTCCCTGCGCCACGCTCACTGACATTGTCTACCGATATAAACCCAATATCGTCGGTATGGCTTTCGAAGCGTCGCTCAACAGCCAAAGTATCGTGGTGGAGGCATACAATGGCCGAGCTTTCGGCATATAGGAATAGGGATGCTGTCGAGGCGCATGGCACAAAGGTAGACTCAGGTGTTGGTGCTTCCGACGTAATCGGCGGCGCTAATGTCTTCATCCTCGTAGGTCGTGAATCCGGAACCGCGGCTGCACTCCATGACAATTCGACCATGCTTCCGGTTGCACCGGCACCGATCTTATCTGATCTTGAAGATGCGTACACTCAATGGGTTTAGTAATCCTAGTTCACTATTAAGTCCCACTCGAGCTAGAATGGCACTGGGTGTTCCAGGATGCAGAAAACAATTACCTCGTCGCCTGTCCGCTGTGATTCTGGCGATAACTGTCTTCACAGCTGCAAGTGCCTATAGTGAGGACAGCACACAGTCCACCGGGGCATTAACGAGTTTCCGACCGAAGACATAAGCGAAACAGAGGCAGGACTATGTAAAAGAAGCCTGAAGGCCCGAGAGGACCCGAGCAGCGGTCAGCGAGGATGGAGGGGGTGCGAGATTAGGAACTTGGGACCGGTACAGTATTCAGAAAAATTTCTAAATTGGGGCAGCAAGCGAATGCACAAATATGCAGGTGAAGAAACCAACGGAGGTGCAGCAGATAGACCAGGGAACCCTCGCGCTAACCAGAAATCCACGTTGGTGGCATATGGGAGGGAGGGGAAGGATTAAGAAAAGAACTAGAGCGGAGGCGGGGAGGGGGTATGAATAAGGAGACGATCGGAGGGACAGGGGGGATATTAATTCTTGGTACCAGATATTGCTTCCAGGAGGCACATTGCGCGAGCTCCTATGATTCCTCCTGATAGCGCCAGCCTCTCTATCTAGTTCATGGCGATCGTATCCCGTGCAGACCACCCACAGACTCTAGCAATCTGAGATGTCTTGCGAGACGACGGACACGGACGATCAAAATCTCCAGCCATCAAGCAATTGGAGCTCGCGCCAAGGTGGGTTGACGGGCGCTTCCAGCGACCAGGATGTCAACCACCGAGCAGGGGAGAGCCATCCAGGGATTTGATTAGTAGGAGGGGACCGATAGGACCCATCGATGGCTCGGCCACACGCGCACCAACGAGCGTGCAGAGATGCAACCTGATATTGGCATTGGTCGCCGTTTTGGCAGTCCATCGTCCCATACATGGCGGGGAGCTCTGGATAAACCTCCACCCGATCGAGACTAAGTTAATTAGCACTTCATTAGAGAACCGGTCAGTGATCACGATCAAGTCGAATCCCACCGCATGATCCGTGTACATCGACACTGCGCAAGGTTTGGGGCTAATAGAGACGGCAGTGAGGGTACGGCCAATTGGCGGTACAGGGTGCAGTGGGCGGGAAATGTAATCAGACTAGAAGCGTTAGTGGTACCACTTTGGTCAATCATTAGTATGGATCATATTAATAGATAGATAAAAAGGCAACTGCATGACAGTTAGTGCTAACAGTTTAGCTAAGTAGTACGAAGGTGGATTGAGTAGTAGTTGAAGGTATGGGACAAAAGCGGGGGGGAAAGTAGTAGTGATGGACACTGGTGGTATTTTGCCAGAGCGGCGGCAAATGTAAGGTGATCCCAGGTGATGTATGGCTGCTGATTGGCCCTCAACCTGCAGACGGGCGTTTCTTCACACTGCAGCCCTCGTCACCTCCGCCCACCAATCACCGTTCGTATCTCCACCTCAAGTGACCTCCTCGGCGCGTAAATCCGTCATGTCCAGGACGATAACTCGTTCTCACTGGATTACTGCCTGTCGCTAGGAGGACCGTATTTCTCTCGAAGGATTGGTGGTATTGGTGCTAGTTTACTTCATCCAACGGGCAATCACCGCAACACCAAATCATATCTTTTAGAACGCCCACACAATCTCACTACAATACTATCACTGTACATGGTCCTGGTCTTGGACATAGAGCCTCGTGGAGGTACTGGAGAAGCACCCCTTCTTGGTTATATAAAGTCCTGGGCGGGAAAAGAGGAAAGGGAGATCATTGTCTCAGATCCGTCGGTTACGTTTCTCCTGGTGCGATGGATTGGATGACCTGCTGCAGCCTGGCACAATGATACCTAGATCGGTTTCAAAACAACTGATGGCATCTCATTTTGAATATGACGATTATCCTAAGCATTAGTTTGTCGCCCAAGCTAGGGAGACCTTATCTGCCGATACACCGTCACCGTGACTGTGATACAACTAGGCACTAATGCCAACTCTGTAGGACATGCCCTAAATCAGGGGGCTTCTGTCGCGCTGTTCTGCATCGACCGAGAATATAATCCAAACAATAGCAGCAATGATTTGAAAAATACGGAGTCAACAGATTGAGGAAATAGTGGGCCAACACCGGTATCACGCATGTTAGATGATTACCCCTCAGAGCGATCTGATCTCGGATGCAATGTGATGTGATCAACAAACAGCATTGTGATGGCGGGACACTTCGCTTCGCTCCTGCGGGTAACAATCACAACCAAAGCCCGATTATATGTTAATAAAGGATCATTGTACAATGTGATTTCGCACAGAGAATTGACTATTTGTATCCACCGCCATTGGGGTAGACGAACCACTGGAGCTTCTGGTACTCTCCTCTTGAACCTTCCAGCAAAAGTCAAATTGATCACTTTCACGAAGACGGAATAGTGCGACCCTGGAAATAACCCTAATAGATTGAGTATTGCGAAGCTCCATCTGAGCGACAAGGGTCTGGACCTTGACCGCCATCCCAAGTGAATATCAAGAGCACGTTCGCCATAGCGTTGCAAAAGTACGTGAAGATTCAAGAGTGAGCCGACTGGTGGTGTAGTTTGCTGAGCCGGTGGACCTTCCCCAGACTAACTTACTCTACATATATGCATGGTCAATTACTCGCAGCCTCGCATCTGGATTAGGTACGTATGTCATAATGGCTGCTGTATGACAAGTGGAAATGCAAACCGTAGACTGATCTGCTTTCTGGATGGTAGGCCCGAGATATATTGGAAATATCTTATTTAAAATTAGTGATTCGATCTATAGTATTATGCGCACATACTGGTTGTTGTGGTATCATATTTGCACCTCAGAGTTGTACATCAGCTCTTATTAGCTACCGTTCACGTTTTTTTTATAACTATTCTTGTCAGGTGTAAAAGAAGATACACGGTATCTAGGAGCCCATAGCTTCAAGGTTTACCTAGTTTCGTTGAGGTTTTGCTCCCCGTCAAAATGCGCTAACCATAGAGGATGTTTATATCAGGGTCCATGGGTAGGTCTCGTTTTAGCTATCATCCCATAGTATGATGATCCTCGGCCACTGCATTCTTTATAGGGCCTCATAGATACGCTCAATAGGGCTTTCTATGAGACATACTGTACAATGCCGCTTGGCGCGACTGGAGGAAAAGGAGATGTTTGTAATTTCATGGATTTCTTGGAATGTCGCTAGACATTCACAAGAATATACAGAGAACAGTAGTTCATAAGTTATTGATTGTTCATAGGTCTAATACGGATAAATGTGGCGCACAGTGTTGTGATGGGGAAAAAAAATAAATGTTTAAGACACTGACCATGGAACCGTCCAGTATACGTGATTTAAGCAAACCTAGATCAGCGAACAAAGGCTCCCATTCATCCATGTATAGTGCTTCGGCGTGAGATTCAGTACTGGGCTAAGAATTATCATTCTCTCTCTTGTTATTCTCATAGCATAGCAGTGAATTACAGGTCACAAGAGCATTTAGAGCCCGTCAATTATCATCGGCTTCAATATCCGTGAAGATAACTCCTGCACCACGCCCCGTCTCCTCCACCAATTGCTCATGCAAACTGATAATCTCAGTATTCATAGCCTCGGCCTCGCCTGGACAGTACCGACTATTCTCAAAGTCAATCAACTTTGCGGATCCTTGCTGTATAATAAAATTATACCGATTGACATCGCCATGGAGCAAGCCAAGGCCGTGGAAACGTTGCAGAAGAGCCTGGCAGGTCGAGAGATCCTCAATGTAGCTATGACGTCCCTCGAGCTTCTCCAACACAAAACCTATCACGCGTCCATGCTCATGGACATGACCGAGAAATCGTGGCGCTAGACCAGTCTGCTCTAGCATTTTGTAGGCTTGAGTTTCTCGTTCTATTCGGGGTATTTCCCATTCGAAGCGCGCGAGCTTGGCAATGACTGTATCCTGTGGCCCCGACTTGGTCAGCGGACAGGTTGCTTCAAAAGCGTTCGGAGAAATTGTTCTCGTCTTCGTGAGATCCATGCAGTCAACGAGGTTTGCGTGCCAAATACAATTGACGCTGGGAAGCATGCGAGTTGATAGCGACGTTTTCAGCTCGCCAGTCAGATTATTCCGACTGATAAAAGCGTGATTCCATGATTCATCTTGAGGGAGATCTGGCAAGGAGTGGAGGGGCATAGATAGCGTTGCTCTGTCGTACGTTCCTGGGGCGATAGTTACATATCGAATGCGACCGTGGAAGAGTATCCTATACTCGCTATCGTCTTCCCCATCAACTTCCATTGAGAGTACAGTGGTAGGATATGACAACTGATCAATTGCCATTCTGCTTAACATAGAATGATTGCCCAAAACTGAGCGAGTCAACCGGTAACAATGTACTTTTCCAAGGTAGGCCGATGTTGAAGTAAGAGTTACTGTGATTCACGCGAGTATGCTGTCGCCCGGACACCATCGAGCAGTCAAATACGTTGTCAATTACTCTCAAGGAAAAAGAGCCCGACAGTGTGAGCCAGTCAGAGGGCGCCATGTGTATGTTTTAGGGGATGCGACGATGTTTCTTATCGGCAATGCCGGGGCCAAAATGGCTATGTAGCTCATGAAGCAATGGAGTATCTTAAATCAAACTATATGCAATACGTGGTCCCAGGAAGCTTGACGCACAATAGTATGTGAGAAAATAGAAATGAACATGAAGAAAAAAGCTTCATGGAATGACAGCAATATCCAGAATATACGAGGGAGACAATCCTTCCCGCTTCCACCATAGGATAAGGATTAGAGTTTCATAACTAGGAGAAAACAAGACCCTTTCTAATATTTCCGAATGTTGCAAAGTATAAATCGGAGAAGTAACCGGTACGCGATACCCACGGCCTTTGATCTGACGCCTTTGGCAGTTCCTTTGCTGCTCGCTTGACGTAGGTGGACTTGAGATCCATCACAGCCTTGTTGACTGGCGGACCTTGGGTCTCAAGAGTAGGAATAGCCGTTGAATAGCCCTTGCTTTCCATGTGCCTCAGGAGCCTACAGACGAGCTGCATGGCAATATCTGCCCCGAGCGTCCACGACGCGTTCACGAAACCCAACACCAGTGCTGCGTTCGGGAGGTCCTGCAGCATTAGGCCATTCCAGGTATACTTTTCAGAAGTGTCAAGCTTCTTTCCTTTGATATAAATGGGAATGCCACCAAAGAATTTCATTCTCAAGCCAGTCGCCGTGACGATGACATCGGCGTCGAGTCGTTTCCCAGACGTCAGCTGGATCCCGCTTCCATCAACCGTGTCAATCACCCCAGTCTCAACCTTCGCTTTCGTAGAATTCAAAGCCCTGAAAAAGTCTCCATTGGGACAGATACACAGTCTTTGATCCCACGGGTTGTAGCGAGGTTTGAAATGGGGATCGAAAGGGACACCCAGGGGCAGTTGCGCCCTCATGCCGTTTTGAAGCATGGATCTCGCGGCGCTTGGGAAAGTATGACAAAATTGATAGAACAACTGAGGCACCACCAGATACCATAGTCGACGGAGATAGTATAGCGCTGACTTTGGTAGGAGTCTGCTCCAGATGGAGTTGAGCCGAGCATTAGGGATGGACGTGAGATATGTAGGACTGCGTTGTAACATTGTCACAGATTCCGAGTCCTCTGCGAGTGATGGTATAAGGGTCACTGCGGTAGCACCACTGCCAATGACTACAATCTTTTTACCCAAGGCATCGAATTGGTCGGGCCAGAATTGGGGGTGAATCACCTCGCCTTTGAAGTTCTGCAGCCCCGGTATAGTGGCTTCCAAGGGGTTATGGTAATCGTAGTAGCCGGTCGCAAATATGATAAAACGAGCGTTAAGTTCCTCTGAAGTGCCCTTACTTTCTACCTCGAGGTTCCACTCATGACCGTCCCATTTGGCTGCGTTCACACGATGGTTGAGGCGGATATGCTGCTTGATGTCATGTGCAGTAGCCGCATCCTCGAGGTACCTCAAGATGTCTCCCCCTTCTGCGATGGGGTTAGATTGATTCCATGGAAACCACTTGAAGCCAAAAGTGTACAAATCAGAGTCTGATCGAATGCCAGGATAGCGGAAAAGATCCCATGTGCCCCCGATGTTGTTTCGGGCTTCCAGGATGGCAAAGCGGTAGTTAGGAAAGTCAGTCTGGAGACGATGGGCGGCATTGATGCCAGATATCCCTGCCCCAATAATGAGGACATCATATGAAGGTGAGACCATCTTGAACGCAATTTGAAGACAGGGTGTAGGTAAAGACGAGTCGAAAATATAGCTTGATTTGATACGGTAGGGTAGGAGTATATATATACGTTTAGAGACAGTCAAGGGACTCCAGCCATGCAGATAAAAACATGCCCCCTTTTGCCTCCCCCATTCGTTATCCCGAGGTTATATACAGAATCTTCGGTTAACTCCATCCTCATACAAAATAAAGCACGATCCCCTCATGTGCCCTCTTGTTATTGGCGTGGTGCTGTTGAGGTGGCTTTAAGATTCCCCAGAGTGGTAAAAACCCTCCGCCTGAGCTCCACAGCCACAAGCGAAACGCAGAGGTCCAAATTCCCTAGTATTGATGAATTAGCGAAACCTTGCGAACGATTACCCGAAGTTAGGCTTAATACATTCAGGTTTCTTCCGTTGAAAAGTCGGAATAGCGAGTTCATCAAGAGTTATTAAAAAGGGCAACAGGGCCCCGTCACCATCGCTCTTCATCACTCTTCATCACAAGGGAACCAGCACTATCGTCTATCATATTATGACTATGTCTGCCAACCATATACTACAGCTTTGCTTGGAGAAGGCTCAAGCCCTTTTTTCCCAACTTCCACCAAATGCTCAGGATTACCTATCCCGCCCATTTGTTCACAAGGCGATCGCATTTGTGACAGCCATTCAGTCTCTGAGAATTCTCAACAGATATCTATCCCAAAGGGCGCAGAACAACTGGGTCCGCTCACGTCCTTGGGATGCATCCAAAGAGTTGGTGCTTCTCACGGGAGGAAGCAGTGGAATCGGAAAGCAAATAATGGAGGATTTGTCCAAGCTCAATGTCAAGGTCATCATCTTTGATATTCAGGAGCCCAAGTTCCCTTTGCGTGGGTGATCGCCAGCCATAGATATCACTGAGTACTCACTAACAATATTGTGTAGCATCAAACGTATTTTTCTACAAGGTCGATCTTACATCCTCAGCTGCAATTAAAGAGATGGCTACCAAAGTACGAATCGACCATGGCCATCCAACTGTCTTGATCAATAACGCCGGTGTGGGCTTCGGAGGAACCATCCTGGACGAGCCGGAAGAAAAGATACGCCTGACCGTTGAGGTCAACACCCTATCCCATTTCTGGACTGTGAAGGAGTTCTTGCCTAGCATGATCAAAAATGATCATGGTCACATCGTGAACATCGCCAGCTTGGCCAGCTTTGTAGCCCTGGGAGAAATGGCCGACTACTCTTGCTCGAAGGCTGGGGCACTTGCATTCCATGAAAGTTTGACCCAGGAGCTCAAGCACTGGTATGGCGCAAGAAGGGTACGGACGAGGTGAGTTCCCCGTAAATATCTCATTACAAGGAGGTGGCCGCTAACAAGGATCAATCAGTGTCATCCATCCGTTATGGGTTCAGACACCCATGATCAATGACCTCGTCCAATATCGCTCACAGTTTGGACAGCCCATTATGACACCGGAAAAAATCTCCCAAGCGGTGGTGAAACAGCTCGTGAATGGAAATGGGGGCCAGGTCGTTGTTCCCTCGTCCCAAGGCTTGGCCGCCATGATCCGTGGGCTTCCGAACTGGATTCAGGAACGCTTGCGAGATCATGCCTCACAAGGCTTTGTCAAATTGCGGCGTTTGGAGCAAGAGTTGGCCGGCTCACAAGGTCAAAAACGTTCCATGACTTGATTGGACTTAGCCATGTCTTTTGTCGGTTGTTCTCGATGTAGATCATGATGTACTGTACACAGCATAGCTCTTGGGTAGGGCAAGTGGATCAGTGCTCTATTTTATTGGCGGTCTCCACACGACACTAATCCATAAATCGAAAAAACCCTCCGCCAGCGGGGATGATCATCTTTGCCACTTAAAATAGACCCATATCTCAATTTCAGACCGGGAAAGAGTGGAGACTGCCAAGTTTTTCCATCATCAAAGTGTATCTTTTTCCATCACGGCAGGCCTCGGCAAGTCGGCCCCTTAAATGGGAACTGTTTCTAGACTCACCTCGCTCCACTCCGGCCTCACCGCGCCTAATAATGATCGATAAGGATGCCCATGATGCAGAAGAAAGCCTGCGATCAATGCTATAGTAGAAAGAAAAGATGTTTGGTGCGCCCGCCGTCCTCCATATGTGTCCGATGTGAGAAATCGTCCCTTACCTGCACTATCGCCCGACAGCAACTACGCGCAGGGCGCCCGCCGAAACAAGGACATCCTGGGGTAGCGAAAGGGTCACTCGCCATATGGGACTATGCCTTACCAGAGGGTAGTCCAGAAGAAGAAGAAGCTCAGGAGCAACCCCAGACTGTAATCAACTCCAACGCGGTCAAAGATGCAGGCGAACGGTCCCCCTCGGACTCCACACATTCGGGCTCCTCCACGCACCTAGAGGTGGAGGACTTCTATCTTCTAAATGATATTTATATGTTTGGATTCACATTTGCGAACGACTTCCAGCGAGCGCTGGAATATAGCTACCGTCATTCGCCAGACCTGTTGGATGAAATTTTTGCTGCTATCAGTAGCTGTCTCTCGTGGGCCCGTTTTGGCTTGCTCACAGCCGATCAAGTCGATGTTAGGAGTGGTGCTGCTTCCGTAGAAAAGCTCAGAAATGCGGTCATTAAGCATACCCATGACGCGCTCGCGGTTCTTATGTTGGGGCAGGCATTAGCTGCGTTTGATTCCCTGGTTACATCCACAGGAGCAATCACAATTCTCCGATGCTCCTTATCTCTCGTCCACCCATGGTATCCGGATATTGCTCCCAACCGATTTCTAGAACCTATCTCGATCGCACCGATCTTTTGGGACATAGTATGGTGCCTACTTCATCGACAGGTCCCTGTGATCCGACCGCTGTTCAGCCGTGCAGGAGTCGTTGATCGAGTGGCAGGCCTCTGTACATCGCTGCTGCCGATACTCTATGATCTGTGTGTTGTCAGCCAGCAACTGGCAGATGGATCTGCTCAGGAAACGACCCTTGAAGAGGTTGAGCACAAGATCCGGACCTGGTCCCCTGATGAGTCTAGTCTCTGTTTGGAGGCGTATAGCGAGCTGGAGATATTATCAATGCGCACCCAGGCAATGATGTATCGAACCGCTGGTCTGCTGCTAATCCATCGACTCCGCCATCCACTAACCTTGGAGGATACGGCCGCAACTGCCCTAGCCAGTGATATTCTTGACGCTAGGAGCCGATTCTTTGCGGATGCCGGAACCGGTGCTAAGTTACAAAATACGACTTTCCCACTTTTCCTTGCCCTCCTAGAAATACCCGTTTCGCTGGAAGGCCTCTGGGAGAGCTCAACGTGGCTTCGCGCTCGACCAGCCTGTGTGGACCGTTTGTTTGCCTTCAACCAGTATTACTGGGATCAGCGACGGTCGGGATTCAATGGCTCGCTCTTTGATCTGGTAGAAAGCGGCCCGGAGTTTGTTCCAGGTCCATGAATCCTCGATCGTCCCAATCTCTATCAATATCGATGATTTGGTGCTCTGCCCTACCGGCCTGAGGCATCCGGACCCAATTGCCTCCGCTTATAAATCCCTTTATGCCATTGAAACGACATTAGTTCTCTCAAACACAGGTCTTTCTTAGTACTCAGAGATACTTAGACTATGGCCAACCATATAAGTTGCTGTTATAATTGCAACCCGCCTAGAGGACCAACCTCACAGGCAAATGGCATATGTCCATAGTATAATGAGCTTTGCCACAGTCTCTACTTTAAGACTATTGGGCATATGAAGAGAAGAATCACATTGTCACTAGAAGAGGGCATGCATCTGTTTATGGGTCAGTACATCTCACAAGAGTGCCTAAGGAGAATGACCAGGCAGCACTACTTTATTAGTGAAGCAACCAAGGCTCCTGATGGGCCAGGCTCGTTAAAGGCCATCATGGCACTAGTTATCAGGTTTCTGATCGCTGCCTCATTAGAATAATGGCATTCAGAGGAGCCCAATCGGCTGAGCTTGGGCCTCATCTACTTCATCGCAGTGCAGAGCAGGCACCAGGCCGTTCAACGCGCCCCATCTCAAGCTTTGTGCGCGTAGCCTATCAATTATAAGTCGCAAGGCGCGCAGGACTGAATATGGCCGCCTATACTATTTAGGAAGCATGGGCGCGCGCAGGAGAGAAAACAAAATGATTGAATAAAAGGTGGGGGGGAAGAAAAAAGAAAAGAAAGGAAGGGTGAAAGAAGTTGGAAGGAATACTATATCAGAATTGGCCAATGCTAGCTATAAGCGACTGTTATTCAATTTGCATGTTTAGAGAGTGCAGTGTTGGCCGAGAGCAGTTACAAAGTACGCGAGATAGTAAATTATTAATGACGCCCAAACGTTACAAAAGAAATCCAATGAGCTATTTTCACGACGGTGAAGTGGTGCCAAGAATAAAATGCTGATGATATGTCCATATATCATGACTATGGTATACTACAGCCCAGCTTCGCCCGCGGTTAAATGTCCGAGTCATAATCCAAACCCTGCTCATGAGGCTGCGCCTGTGATTGAGGGTATCCCTTACCCATTGGGGGCTGCCCAAATGTATCTTGCGGAGTTGACACCTGAAGAACATAATGTTGCTGCTGCAGTTGCTGATGACACAGGCTATTGATAGAGGGCGGGATAGCAGCAATATTATACATAGTCTGAGCTTGTGGAGGCGTAAAAGACGGTTGAGCTGCATCCTGGTTGGCCCATGCTGGATAGGCCGGGGGCTTAACTGGCTGTGCCGATGCTGGAGCAGCGGCTCTAGATGCATGTACAACCTCTGGTGACTGACTGTGGCCAGCCCGGGTGCTGTTAAGAAATGCTGCCTCTTGATCTGTCATGCCCTTGGTCTCAAGAAGGTACTGTCCAAACCTCGTACTGGCTTTAACCACGGCCTTGAAATGTCGAGCGTTCAGGTCACATGGGCTTCGATCCTTTTTAATACCATAGGTCGTCTCGTAGTAAGCAAGAGCAGAGGCAATGAGAAATGCATTCCGGATTTGTCTTACTTTCCATATGCCGTTGCCGTTCTTACCTTTCGTGAAATGCGTTGTGTTTTCAATCGGCGTTATTGTTCACGTAGAATGGACCCCGTCTCTAGGTATGTCTGGTGACTCTTCGAGTCAGATGTCACCTGTAGCCCCAGTACACTCATCCAACCCGGCGGCCTACTGCGCCGATGGTTCCTCCGCACATGGAATGGGACCTATATCTTGAACGCTTATAGGCAGGGCCAATCCGTTAGATAAGGAGATGTGAGTCAATCTAAAAGGCGGGGTTGGGGCAGCAGTTTACCCATACTATTTTTGCGGTCTCCAAGTCTAACATTATAAGATACCCCCATCAGCAGCTCTTCAGTAGCAAAACCCACTTAGCTGTCTTGTGACCAAAACCCACCGAGAACAACATGTGCACTCAACTCGACGCCGCCTTTATCGCCCGTCTCTCCCTACACGATCCCACCCACTTCAGCATCCAGCACTCCCAACCCTCTCACCGCCTGACTCTCCTGCAGCACTGGAACATTTCCACTGGCTCCAATGTGCTGGAACTAGGATGCGGGCAGGGGGACTGCACGACTGTCCTCGCCAATGCTGTGGGCGAGCAGGGGAGGGTGGTGGCGGTCGATCCGGCGGAATTGGATTATGGTGAGTCCTCTTGCATTTCTTACCCTGCTGCCTGCTCAAGTGGTGCGAGCGGAAAGCAGCCAACTGATGGCTCCTGCAGGTGCTCCGTATACGCTCGGCCAAGCACAGGGTCACATCTCGCAAGGCCCACTGGGTAGGCGGATTACTTGGGTCCGACAATCCCCCCTGGACTACCTCTCCTCCCTCCCCTCCCCTTCTTCCCCCTCTTCGCCGCCCGCCAGCGACCCTAAGGCCTTGGACGCAACAGTTCTCGCCCACTGCCTATGGTACTTCGCCTCCCCCTCACTCATCCTTTCCACTTTTTCTGCCATCAAGCAACACAGCAAGCGTCTCCTCCTTGCCGAGTGGTCGTTAGTAGCGACGCACCCCTCTGCCCAGCCTCACGTGTTAGCTGCTCTCACCCAGGCAGCGCTGGAGTGCCGTAAACCCAAGGGCAGCGTCTCAAACGTCCGCACGGTGCTGGGGCCAAAGCAGCTTACCGAGATGGCCCTGGCTGCGGGATGGCATCTGGAGAGCGAGACTCGCGTGCAAGGTAGTGAAGGTTTGTTGGATGGACAATGGGAAGTCTCTACTTGTCTTTCTTCCTCTTTCGAAAGGGAAGTGGAGGAGCAAGTTAGTGATGAGAGGGAAAGGGCGGTGGTTCTTGCGTTACGGGATGCGTGTGAGGCAAGCTTGGAGGGTGTCCCAGGGGGTCGGCAAGGAGTTAGGGCCATGGATGTTTGGATTGCTAATTTTGTCTGATTATAAGGAGCCAAAACAGGGTAGATATTAACCCTCCCTTTACCACTATTAACACTGTTCTATTTGGCAAATAGTCTAAAAGAATTTATACCTTTAAATACAAAACCCACTTATTTTTATTTATTTTTATTGTATTATCATAAGATATTAAACTTAAGGGATTAGATAGAGGGTGATCAACGCCCTCCTGACTAATAGAATCTTCCTGTTACTAGGAATACCTTCCAGAATGATATCATGTCAAATATTCGTGTTCTTATGGCAGCATGCTAGCGGTAGCCTTCAGCTGACCTGGCTTGGAATTATAGAGAACGATATCCTCAATGCAGAACAACACTTTTGTAAGTTTGTCTACTAGACCATGTCGGAATTGTCCTAGGTTTTATCTATTTTCTTATAACAGGAAGCGCAATTATATGACCATAATATTATAAGTGTCAAGGTAAGAATAGTATTAGAGATAATTTAGCTGTTACTAGTGATAGATTCATTCAATGCCAATATCAAGGACTGTTCCACAACACAAAAGGCTAGTACCATGATGTGCGCCCCATTGAACGAGACAAACTTGTTGTAAGTCAGCTCTGGGAGACAGTCGGTTAATGCTGTCGCCAAAGTCAGAGAGCAGACGACGGCTGCTAGGTGTAGACGCGAATTCGTAAACAATATTTTCACGGCAAGATAGCACTGGGGCCAGAGGATAGTATAGAAAAAAGAAGGTCTCAACAACTTGGACCGTACTAAAAACTTCTCTACTTCTAGCTAGGCCGAACGAGCGGAAACTAAATAATTAATAGTGTTAGTCCGGCGCAAGTCTCCGGTGCAGTACTCGCTCAGGGCAAGGAATTTTAAATCCAAGGATCTCTACCCAGTACTAATGGCACCAAGTGGTACAATGCTATCCTCCTGCAGGTGAGGTTTCACTTCCATTTACGTAGGGACTCGACGGACTGATAGTACCAGGGCTAGCTAGCTTAGCATCCCCACATAGTCCATATTCCGCTCATCTGTTGAGAGTTTAAAGTGAGCCTCCTACGTTTGGAAGTCCATTCCAGCCTCACTTCTGCTGCTCCTTGTTCCATCACCTAACTCGTGACTGAGCAGGGCGTATCAAAAAATAGTCTCATATCTCTTTACCGGTCATCTCACATCGACGATTAAAGCAAAACAAATGGACACCGATCCATTTGGCCGACTTCCTTGGTTTGCCCTGGAAATAAAACTATCAAATCTTCCTGGCTTACACGCGCTGCATAGCCTGTACAAAGTGTCGCCGGAAGTTGCGGTATCTTTACGTCGGAATGAAGATCTATTTGCCCGGATCGTGGATTCGGTTCTCAGCAATCCGGCTCGCGAAAGAGGTCTGGCTCCACATGTCCAGGATATCATACGGCTCATTCTCCTCCTCTGGACCCCGATGCAGGAACCGGATATAGATATTCTTGGCAGTTTATATTACGTCCTGGAGCGTCCCCGTGAATCGCCGCCTTTGCTTAAGAAAATATCCCCGTTAACACCCGCAGCTATTCTTTGTCGGCTCCTTCGTCTGATGGCTCGACTACGATGCCTCATCCACGCATATTTTCATCCTGCAATTACAAGGTGCCTCCAGCTATAGCTAGAGCACATACCACCACCCCTAAGACCTAGGAAAAAGATGCTGGACTGCAGAATCGGTAGTTGATCGCAGCAAACGCCCCAAGAGTATTCCATACACCCCTACTGATATTGGTCCATTAACATGGGTTGAGGAGCAACGACTACTCAGTAGTTTCTTATTTATTGTTTATTCTACGAGTTACGCAAGGGACGTCTTGAACATTCCCTCGTTGTTAAAAATAGCGAGTCTGTGCGCGCTTTGTTCGACAATGACGTGCAAGGGTTTTGGAGGATTACAGCCACTGTTGCCAATGCCACACAACACATCCACCAATGAAAGAAAACGAAACTGGGTGCAACACCTTGAGCGACGGGATAACGTCCAGGGGTGTGCGGTCCTTACGGATGTGTAAACGCGATAGTAGTTCACCACTCAAAGGTGTTGCCCGCTCAGTCTTCCACCCATATGGCCTTGTATTCTGAGATAGTATCAGACTAGACGGCCTAGGCTTTCTAGGAGGCTGTCCTCCAGACCTAACGTAGTTCTCCTGGTCCTCTATATTGACCGAACAAGATTAGGAGGATTTGCAGAGACGGCAGTCTACCATTACCGGATATGTCGACTTTCGAAATTAGTAGTAGGAAATATGGCCTATTGTATATTTTCCTTAGTTTCCAGGACGATATCCATAAAGGCTGTGTCGAAAATACAGATATGTTTCGGACCACTTTCACCGTAACCTACCAAATACCTGACGAAATGATGTAAACAAATTGGTGCTTTTCTTAGCCATAAGCGGAAGCTTCGAAAAACAGTTTATTCTCAAGGCAGGGGACGACTTCCAAGAGAAGTATAACCCAAGGAATTAGACACAGAGACAATCATCAGTCTTTGTAATGAAACAAGGGATAAAGCTATCTCTTCTCTCAATCGTCCTCTTCAACTCGAAAATGTTAAAGTACAACATTAGGTCTCTTTCCGCTCCAAATACCGTGATCGAGGAAGCCGTCAGAAAGCCCATCTGCGCCTTGTGCTGGGTTAGCAGCCAGCCAATGCCTCGCCCATTCGGGCAATATAGCAGTGCACAGTATTTATTCATCAGAGCCTGGGCGGAACGTTCTCCCATGCGTCTTCATTGGCGAAAGCTTATCCCAGCGGTCGAAGCCATCGGCCTCTCCAGTGGCTTGCCGCATGATACTCAATGGAAATGAATACTTACGTCGACCCCTTGTACACCGAATATCTCGCTGGTCTTCCTTACATGGCGCCAGCTTCTCCGTGGCTCTATACCAACCTCCCTGGATACAAGAAAAATTGGCCCTGACTGTAAGTATTATCTCTTCTGGGGTCATCGTACCCTTTCTTCCCGATAGCCAACTTAGAAATTACTCTAAAGGTGACAACCTGTGGTATGGCCAATGGCAGAAAATCTGGTATCTCAAACCACTATTTGTTCAAATTATCTCTTGGAACGACTATGGTGAATCTCACTACATCGGACCACTTCCAGACTATGCCATGGAGGCCTTCGACTTTAGCCGAGCTCCCTACAACTATGTGACGGACATGTCTCATGATGGCTGGCGACTCTTTCTTCCGTCTTTAATCGATAAGTATAATTATGAGAAAACGACAATCGATAAGGAAGGCTTGACTGTTTGGCATCGACCGCAGCCTGCATCCGCATGTAGCCGATGAGGGACCTCTGGTAATACTGCGAATCAACTTCTAAATGAGTTTCATCCAACCGAAATCGTGCAGGACCACATCATCTCCTCTGCTATCCTCAGTGCCCTGGCAACCATCACGGTCAGTATTGGTGGGGTGACCCAGCAAGCCAGCTGGACTTGGTAACCAGACGGAGGTGTCGGCATCTACCATGGTAGTGTTCCTTTCGGATGTAGCCTGGGAGACGTTGCCGCCACCTTATCACGCTCTAAAAAGCAGATAGCCCAAGTCAGCAGGAGTTCCATATTCACCAATTGCGCCAAGGGATTGACCTGTTGTCGGACGCATTCCGCCTTGCACGCTGATAATGCCAGACCTACTCCTGAATACCCCAACGACGATCCATTATATCCAGTGGATACGTCTATTGCCTTGGGACCCACCACTATCAAGACTGTTTACCCAAGCCCCAGTATGACAAAGTCCTAAGTCCTGATATCTTTACAAAATGCTGACGTTTCTCTCAGCAGTTACTAGCACGACTGTGAGCTATTTCAATATGCCTGTCGGCGCCGGCCAGACGAGACCCTCCTCCTTCTACCTGACGCCCAGCTATTCCCCCGAGCCCCTCACATTGGAGGCGGGCGGTACTTCCACCACACTTTTCCTACCTCCAGTCGCTTACCAGTCGGTTATACCCGGTGGTGGGGTTACGCAGACACCCACGTCTTTTGGAACAATCGAATACTATACCAACTGTGAGACGTATACCTATTCTGAGGCACAATTCCCGTCTCTCTCCGATCTCGCGACTTCTACAGTCACAACCATGGCACTCCCTGCCTAGACCTCAAAGGCCACCTCCACAACCTCAACGACTGTTGTTCCACCATGGGTCCAGGCTGGGGGCTTCTATTGGTCTCCAGTATCTCAGCCTACCTCGAAGCCGAGCGATATACCCGTGCCCCCATTGCCTTCGTTTCCTCCGATCCCTACCGCACCATAGTTCAAACTCTTCGATCTATTCTCGATCGACCAACCAGTTCATTCTAACGACCACGTTTATTAGCAATGCCCCGTCCTCAACCTGTATTGATACCAATAACCCCGGATGCGGACATCGCTGTACCTCGAACTGCGGCAGCAGTTCCAGCGATGAGTGCACCGCGCAGACAGCCACCAACTACTGGGTCAATTGCTCTGGGACTAGCTGCTTCACCACTACAACGGGCAAGTATTGCCTAACAGGTGTCAAGGTTGATCCCAACGACGAGCAGGGGACCAATGGATATCCCCCTCAATCGATCCCTAACATCACCACCAATATCCCGGAGATCGCCATTGTCGGGGCGAACCGTATTCGGTAAAAGGAGGAACCATCAATGTCGGTGGCACGACTATCCGGGTGCCGAACGTGGGTAGCAACTGGCAGGTCAGCACGACAATAGATAATGTGCCCATGGTCATCATCCCAAGCTATTCAGGTATGGTGGCCGTGCCAGTGTTCCCAATGGCCAAGCCAACTTCCCACTTAGGCTCCTGCTCCGCTACCAGCTTGACGACCACATCTACCACCACTACTACTACCAGCTCAGCAAAACCAGCGCCTACCTCCGCAGATTGTTGTGATCTAATGAAGAAACAAGGTGTATGCTGGAATAAATGTGATCCTATCACTGGCAAGGCAGTGGGCGGTGGATGGAAAAAAAGGTGATCCATGGCGTTGGCTTGAATATGAAGGGGCAGGTGCCTTTTGCAACTATCAGACAGACTGCCCAACCACATTCCAGTGTCAACAAAGTAGTTGGGGGCGCAAGGTGGATGTACAGCACCAGAGCCAGACTATGGTGGTTGCTCTATAATGGATGGTATACAGGGAGTATGTTGGAGCAAATGTAATCCAAAAACCTCGAAGCCTATTAAGGAAGAATGGGAAGCGGGCGATCTATGGTGCTGGCTTAAGAATGACCAGACAGGGGCCTTCTGTAATAATAACGGAGACTGTTCAGCAGATCTAGAGTGTCAGCCAAGTAGCTGGGCCAAGGGAGGATGTTCGGCAAGCACGCCAATTGCCGCTCAGCTACTTTCGCTTCATGCTAACGGGACATCTGCTGGACCTCTTGGCCTCCACCCTGACTCATACTAAGCCGACATTGACACCACTATAATAGAAATAAACTAGACCTTTTACAGAATATAATGGAACTTTCAAACTTACTAGTTCGCAATATCGATCACGGATAGGATCTGGGCAGGCACGAGGAATTCAACTACTATAGCTGCATGTAGACGGTGATATCGACTGGTCTTCCATCAATCTCCTTACTTTACCCCCATATAGGTCACTAATGGATAACCGCTCAGCAATCAGTAGCCTCCCTCCATTTATTTTTTATGCTCCTTTAAAATGCGAATCGAGATTGGCCGACTTTTCCGAATCATCATCGTTCCCGGTCGCTACATCAGGACCATAGCTATAACCCCGCTAAGACTTACTTTAGCTTGAAAATAAGCTATAAATTACTCAACACTTGTCTTTATTTCGACGAGCTCATGGCAATACTTATTCTCATATTAATATAAAATACACAAGGCAATACTGTTGCGATTATGTCCACCACATATCCTTCGGTAAAGTTGAATCCAGGATACCTGCTTGAAGTCACCGTCATTTTCTCGTGGAGCAGCGCAGCGCCAACGAGACCCGCCCCCAAAGCAAGTGTGACCATCCGTTAGCAAGATATCTATGATAATCCTATTCTATGATAATCTTATTTTATTAGATCTCTTGGAAAACAGATAGTTCCCGCTCGAGACCTTTGTCTTCGGGAAGCCCTGGAGGCTGCTATAGTTATGGTCGAATGGAGATGAATGTACATCATCACACTGAGTATATGGAGGTATTTTGAGACGTATATAACTATTGAAGAAGATCTTAACTTTTAAGAAACACAAAGCTGTGCAGGGTGGTTTGGGGATGCAGGTTTGATATTAAAGCTCTTGAGTCGCTCAACCTGGTATTATTTTCATTACCTCTTTTGTGAAGGCCGTATTGACGGCTGACTCGGCTCTTTCGGCTATAAAATTAGGATCTTGAAAGTTAGTGATATTCTGTGCCTTATCAAGTAGCTGTACATTGCCAATAGGTGGTATAATTAATGCTCATCTTGCATTGATTCCCCGTATTCCTTGGAAACATCCTAGAAGTAGTCTTTGGCTGTGCTGGGCTTCATGTCATAGGCACGCCTCCAAGGCCATTCATGACGAACAGGATTTGCTAATTTTACCGCTATGACGAGATTAATCTTAAACATTCATACTTTCCTTGTTCTCAGCGCCACTCATGGGAGACTTGGCTCCACGAACTGGCGTAATAAGAGGTTTGTCATTAGGATTGTATTAAAGACATCATTTACCTGCGTATCCATCACAAAGACAGAAGAAAAGAAAAGAAGAAATATATAAGAAATCAAAAAAAAAAAGAACAAAAGGATGTAAAAGAGAGAAAAGGAAAAGAAAAAAAAAAAAGAGAGACAACCGGCTTGTCTCAACCTTATCTATGTTGAATAATATAGAGGCCATCTCAATGAAGCAGAAATTCCGCACCTTTCATGTTGCAACTAAACGATGTAGAATACTCAGTGGCCCCAGATTTTCCTTGAAGAAGGGCCCGAAGATTATTCAAGTAGAATTAGTTGTCATATAGTCTCAGAATCTGCGGGAATGCATTATACGCGATTTCATCATATAAAACCGCCCGTCACTATACCTAAGAGAAGGGACCACATCCTTGATGTCTAAGCAATCTGGGGAGTGGTATGCTGGTGGCAAGTATAGTAACCTTACGCCTTCAATGGTCACCCAGTCTCCTACTAAGGATATATGGTGCTTGGGCTCATTTGGTATTGGGTATCGTTCACTGCCAAAGGGCTGAACTCCAAATAAACCGCTCTCAGTATATAGGTACGAGGTTCGGGTGGAGAACCTGAGGCTAGAAAAGTCCCAATTGGGTACAGAACCTTGTCCAGCACTTCTGCTTTGACATCCCACAGTCCGATGGTTTCATTGGCGGAGCATTAGGCGGCTATCTGGAGCGACATAATGAATTTGAGGCTCGTGAGACTTTCGTGGTATACGTTTCACCACCTGGATCTGGTCGCATTGCGAGCAATCGAGACTGTTCTTTGGATGTTGATATGTTGCATTGAATAGCCAGTCTCTCTTAGGCGGCGAGAACTGTTCTTCCATATACTGATTACTATCTAGAGTTTTCATAATAGTGGCATGAATTTCAGGCCCTTTAATCATATGATTGCAGCGCATCTGAGACACAGCACTCAACAGTACTTGAGGGGGGGTGTTGAGTGAGCCGGTATGCTGAAAGAATCCATCAGGCAGTGTCTTGCCATAATCATCCTGTATCACACCACCTGAGGAGCCAGATGGCATGCTAACCACCACATCCCCAAGGCGAATATCAACACTGCTGCTGGGTACGCCCCCACCAATCCCCACCATCAAGCCAACTTTTACGGACGGAAATGTTGACAGCATTTGGGAGAGAACCGTGGCTGCAGATGTTGTTCCATATACTCCAGAGGGTAGACAGACAAGAACAATGTTATGGCCGCTCATTTCCCCAAGAGAATAGGAGTTCTGATCCGCTTGTGGTTGGGGAAGGGATTCATGGGTCTCCTGAAGCATCGCCTTGGCAGCCGCCATCTCCAGCGGTAACGCGCAAATCCAGGCAATGGTATAGTCATCGTAGGCTAGTTTTGTTTTTTTTTTATTTTATGACCACGGTTTCAGGTAGAATCTAGAATTCCGTGTAGCAAGATAATCATAGAAAGTTTCTCTTTCGATTAAGTCAAACACAGAACTTGAGCGTTGTTGGGATTTGAGGTGGGGTACGGAGTTCACACCGCTAGGATCAGCACAAGGCTGAGGTGAGGCCTTGCTAGCCACAGGGTATAAGCAACGAATCATATTCTTTATACTGGTTCTAGCCTCGCACCCCAGTATTTAATTCCGATTTGTATTTTATGAAAGCTTTCCTACCTATTAGTTGCCCGAATTCTTTTTTCCTTCATCTCTCTAGTGGTTCATCCTTACTAGGTATGTACCTGCTCGACTTGTTTGAATTACTCAAACTACTTTTATTTTCTAGTGTTAGTTCCTCTTTAGATTATTCGAACTACATCCATTTACTCGAACTATATATATAGGGGTTCGGAGTTCTAGCTCTATTGAGAATGTAGTCTATCGTTCACATATCCTTAAGGTGCTCAAACTTAGAATATGAATACGTAGGTCATCTGTGCCATAGAATTCACTCAAGTCCCCGACGATATTAATTCACATATAAAATAAATACGAGATAATGAGAACGGCTGCTACGATGTCGGCTTGCCCTTCAGATAGCACAGCCATGTGGATGTTTATAACACTCCATCAAACCCCAGTGGAAGTCACTTATATGTTTTTTTTTTAAAAAAAAAAAGGCTGCTTCACAACCATGGCCTATAAAGTTTTGCTTGAAGTTTTAATCCTGACTCAGAACTACAGTTATCCGTGATCACCAGAGAAACACTATTAGGGTGCGTGTAGTCATGTGAATGGAAATGAGTGCCTGGGGACTCTAATTGTGGCTGCCTGAATTAAATCCTATAGGTATCGAATCCCGAGGAGAAAGCTTGTTTGGTCCAGTGACGCGTTCCTGATAATTTCCGCCGGATCCACAACCAAGCGAACAAAATTGGAAACCCGGATGCGCAGGATAAATAATAGCTTGTTGTCACTTGTGCTGGTTTTCCACCGAAGGTTCCCCTATCTGGTTCACAATGGCTTCCCACACTCCACGCGAAACCGACCGGTTACTCGGAAATGATGACGATTCTGGTGCTCCACTACAGAAATACCGTCGCCACAGGCTTATCAACCATCTTACCTCGGACATTAATCCTAACCATGGGGACCTGATTCTTTTGTTTTGCTACGTGATCACTGGGCTACTCGACAGCTCCGCCGTCTTTGTCTGGGGCTCTTTCGTGAGCATGCAGACCGGCAACACCGTCTATCTAGGCCTCGGACTCATGGGAGTCGATGAGAGCAGTCGCTGGCTCAGGGCATTAACCTCGATCGCCAGCTTTTGCGTAGGGTCCTTCTGCTTTGCCTCTTTTCACCGACGGTTCTCTCCTCGCAGACGCTGGGTGTTGTGCCTTTCATTTACCATCCAGATGCTCTGTGTAGCGACGGCTGCTACGATTGTGACCACCCACCAAACTTCTAGGGACTCCCCTCTAACCTGGAAGGTGATTGTTCCATTAATGCTGGTCGCCTTTCAGAGCAGTGGTCAGGCAGTGACGAGCCGTGCCCTGCAGTTCAATGGTCTGACTAGCGTGGTGTTGACAAGTGTTTACTGCGACTTATTCTCCAGTCCGGAGCTTCCACCTATGTCGATGTTACATGGAGTGGAAAATAGGCGACGTGGCGGGGCAGTGGTGTGTCTCCTGTTTGGGACGATGCTGGGGGGGTTGTGGGCCAAGAGCAGGGTTGGACTAATGGGGGCGTTTTGGACGGCAGTTTTGTGCAAGGCCTTTATTGTTGTTGCCTGGTTGGTTTGGCGGGGGCAGCCGACGGAGAACCTGGAGGATGACGAGTTGGACCAATGACAAATTAATTATTAGTTAGCAATATCTAATGCTAAGGGGCTATCCTATCACATCTGATGCCCCTGACGGTATTCCCACTCAGCCCTACTGTAGGGCTGACACGCCCCCCCCCCTTTCTTGGCTCCACTTATCCTGCGCAAATTATTATGAAAGCTCTAGCGTTGCCTTGGCTTATAATCTTGGCGTAAGGAGGAATACAGAAAAAAAAATGAAATTGTTCAATCACCGTCAGAATGAAGCAGATCGGTTTTCTTCGAACGCTGACGGTGAAGCTGTTATGTGCAGTTTTTTCTTTTGGACTGCTTGGGATGGCTCGAGGTAGGCTACCTAGCTTTCTCTAAAAGAGTACCGTTTAACAATACCCAGGGCTGGATGAGGGCCTCATCTCGACCACAGTGGCTCAGCCGTCCTTTATCCATGAGTTTCACCTTCAGGATGCCGACCTTAGTGCATCGGAGAAAGCCAACCGGCTCTCCAACATAACCTCTATGGTCCATATCGGAAGTATCCCTGGCGCAATATTTGCTTTCATTATGTGTGAACACGTCGGAATGCTCTGGACAATGCGGCAGCTGTGTGTTATGTGGGCAGCTGGAGTAATTATTGTTATCACAGCTGCGGGGAGTATTGGTCAGGTCTACGCTGGTCGTTTCATCATGGGTTTAGGGATTGGACAAGCCGGGGTCGTCGTGCCAATCTATCTCTCCGAGGTAGCTACGCCGTCGCTGCGCGGACTCATGGTCTGCACATTTGCTACATCTGAGTATATGGGAATCATGTTAGGGGTTAGCATTCTCTCATCGCCCACGATGGAGATGACCACGGTGACTAACAGGGACCAATCTAGTATTTCTCAAGCTGGGGAACGACCATGCACATCTCCAACAACAGCTCAAAGCAATGGATCATCCCACAGTCTATTCAGATTATGGTTTCCGGCATTCTTCTGCTTTCATCGTTTTCCTGTGAGGAGAGTCCCCGATATCTATGTAAAGCCGGACGCTTTGCCGAAGGTACCCGGGCCCTGAGTCGGTTGTGGAATTTGCCTATACACGACCCACGCATTCAGAAGGAATTCGAAGGTATTCTTAATCAATTAGGAGACACACCATCGGGGACGAGCATCCAGCGCCTGGGAAGGGCTCTAAAGCAACTTATCACAGACAAATCCAACCTATCAAGATTGACATTTTTGGCGATCACTCAGCTCCTGAGCCAGTGGTCAGGTGCCACTTCCGTTACTAGTGAGTGTTGAGCCCCGACAGACAGGGATAAACGATAATAAACAATGATGCAGCTTATTCCCCGAAGCTCTTCTCGCTTCTCGGTGAGACGGGCCAGTCCCAGAAGCTATTGTGCACCGCCATCTTAGGCGCCGTCAAATTTGTCGCATCGCTTATCTGCACAGTATTTCTGATTGATTATACCGGACGAAAACGCCCTTTGATTACAGGAATCATCACCCAATTTGTCGCTATGCTTTATATTGCCATATATCTCACCGTGGCGTTGCCGTCCACCCATCCCATCCGCTCAAATACAGAGCACAATGCTGCCATTGTTGCCATCGTCTGTCTCTACCTCACGGGTGTGGGCTGGGCCCTGGGATGGAACTCGATCCAGTATCTCATAAACGCGGAGATTTTCCCCCTATCCGTGAGAACAGTAGGGTCCAGTGTACTCATGTGCTTCCATTTCGCCAATCGATTTGGTCTGTCTAAGGTACAGCTCTTTAGCGCGCCGGCACCGCATCTAGATGGCTAACATAACCTTAGGCTGTTCCGTCCATGTTACTAGAGAATGGACTCCGGCCGGAGGGGACATTCTGGCTCTTTGCGGTGGTTACAATATTAGGCTTATTATGGGTTTGGTTGCGGCTCCCTGAGACTGCTAGGCGGAATCTTGAGGAGGCGAACATATTGATCTCCTGAATTGCATGCTATGGCGCCTGCATTACTCCCTATATACTATGAATGATATGATAAACACCAAGGTATAGCATGATTATTTGGGAGAGAAGATAAACTAGATTCCATAATGCTCAAGAAACCTACTAGGAGCATGGGAGTCGTAGTTCACGAGATTCCAAACGACAACAGTACAAAGTGAAATAAGTGACCAAAAGAAGGTATTCAAGAAAACCGAAAGTCATAGTCTCCCACAATTTGACCAACTGCTTGTGCCCACCAACCCAAATCACACTTTAAAAGAGGCACAAGCAGGTCTAAAGCCATGCTCAAGGACTGTAAGTATCACTCAGTAATGACAGAGCCTCTTTTTCATAACCCCAAGGCTTCACACAGACATGTCAGTCCTGCATTTCTTAGTCACCATGCTTCTAGCAGTCCTTTTCCTTCTCTTGCTCCTTCTCATGCTCCTCCTTCTTGGGCCACTGGGGCCACTGGGGCCATCCTGGCTTCTTTTCATGCTCCTTCTCCTCTTTTTCCTTGTGCTCCTTCTCCTTCTCCCACTCTTCCTTCTTCTGTCTTTCTATCTCTTCCTTTTCCCATTGCTTGTGCTGCTTTTCTTCCTTCTCATGCTTCGCCCTTTCTCTCTCTCTCTGTTCCTGTTGTCTGTGTCTCTCCTCCGCCTCTTCCTTCTCGTGCTTTTGTCGTTCCCTTTCTGCTTTCTCCTTCTCATGCTTCTCCCTCTCATGCCTCTCTCGTTCCTGCTTTTCCTTCTCTGCCTTCTCTTTCTCCCACTTTTCCTTCTCATGTCTCTCTCTTTCCTTCTCTTCCTTTTCATGCTTTTCTTTCTCCCACTTCTGCTTCTCCTCCTTCCCATGCTTTTCTTCTTCCCATTTCTCCTTCTCTTCCTTCTCGTGCTTTTCCCTTTCCCTTTCTTCCGCCTCCTTTTCCCACTTCTCCTTCTCGTGCTCCTCCTTCTCATGCCCCTCCTTTTCATGTTCCTCCTTCTCATGTCCCTCCTTTTCATGCCCCTCTTTCTCATGCTCATCCTTCTCCCACCATCCACCATCTCCTCGTCTCCACTTCCCTTCCTTCTTCTCTTCCTCCTCCTCATATTTAGGCAAGTGCTTCTCGTCTGGATAAAGAAGTTTTTCGATATCCTTCACCTTCCAGCCATCAACACCCTCAAATGCCTTGTGCAGTTTCTCCCGCTCCTCCTTGGGGAAGCGGTCATGGAACTCCTTGATCTGCTTGGGGCTGAGGGGCCAGAAGGCTGTGACCTTCTTCTCACCGTCGAATTCCCGCAACACGCCATCGTGTCCAAGATGGACCTTGCCCTTATGGTCGGGGGGGAGGTGGCAAACCTCGTACTCGGGTTCCTTGCCTCCGAGGTCCTGTGTTGGGGTTAGATAGATGTAGAGTATAGAGTTGAGGGGAGGTGTAGTGGCTTACGGTGGGAGCCGCAATAGCACCGCCAAGGAGAAGGAGGATCAGAGAGGCGGGGAGCTTCATCTTGGGGATGATTTTGAAAGACTGATCAGAGGATGCTTTTGGGAGGTAATTGGAGAGGATGAGAATGAGGATGACGATCTTGGTGTTGGATGTAGTCTCGGTTTGAGCGAGGAAGAAGAGGGTTATTTATCTTCGAGGTCGAATGTATGTGTTCTGACCTTGTCAGGGACTTGCTGGACAGTACAAACGAGTTCCGGTGTGTCGATTACGCGTTCGAAAGTAGCTATTTTTGTCATGGAGGCATCTTGTGATTCGTAGTGTAGAGGTTCCCCTGTATACCTTGTTGGGTAGCTTTCAGTTCGAACGCGTTGAACAGGATGGGTGCATGTTGTTGGCCCAGATCGGGATCTTACGCAATGCAGCTTGTGTTGGCCACCCTTCGGAGAATATACTCACTTACGGAGCTATGTTCTTTCTCTTTCTCTATTATCTGACAGGGACACTTTTGGTAACTTCTCCTATTATAGATATTACATGGTGCAGATATACCATCTAGTATCTACCAAGTAACGAACCAGAACCCAAAGGTCGCCCGGCCACAAAACAGAAGTTCCCAACCTGAAAGATTCCAATTGGAGAAGCTTACCACTCATCTTCGAGGGATAGTCGAGAAATATTTACGTAACTCAATCTAGACAATCCCTTCAAGAATAGCGGCCTGAGCCCCTATCCGGAACCACGACGCTCGTACAAACTAGGAAGTAGGGCATGGCTTCGGCACGGAAGAGAAACAACCCTATTGGTGAGGCCAGGTACTAGTGTTCCTTGCCCATGTAACGCGGACTCTCGGGCTTGGCTTTGGACTGGTTCATGAACGCCGTGAGATTCTGATATTCCACGAACACGATGACGCAGTCCTGTCAGGCTGGGTGAATCTTAAAGTGGTTTCATGGATTGGGAATATGTTCTTACTTGACTGATCCTGTGGTGGTGATTGGTCTGGATTGTTCGGGGATATGTCCGACACTCCAAGGAATTGGGTGTAGATCTCGCAGGGGGCTCTTTCCTGGTCCAGTGCTTTTCATTTGGAAATACATTATGCCGATAAGGGAGATGTGCATGTACATGCACACAAAGTGTACTATTCGTAACCAGGTTCATGATCTCGGTTGTCGGAGATCCCGCGCACAATCAATTTGATCCGCTGTCGCCTCGTCTATCACGTATTTCTGACCAATCTTCGCAAGGAGTTCCTCCAAACTCGTCTGATCCTCCTCTATCCATGGCAAGGCCCCTTCATCCACGCACTTCATCTGGCGCCCAGTGCCATAATGATAAAATAATCGTCGCAAATACCAATCTGAATCAAAAGTCAGGTAGCTGTCTTCGTGCATACCGATGATGATTTCGGTCTCGCGCTCGAATGGCGTGCTGTCATCCCTGTCCCACCAATACTCAGAATGTCCGTATCGGAAATGCCGGAGTTGCCGCAGTTCTTGAAAGGATTTGAAATAATGGTGCCAGCGTTTGGCGTAGGTCGTGTAGTTTCTGCCCACCACTCCGGGATGGGTGGTGTAACTATCCGGATCCAGATAGGTTCTTTCTTTGTCGCGGGTTGCTACTACCCAGAGGATGGCGCAGTCGTCGAGGTAGAGTTCTGTAAGAGTGCTGCGGTGGCTGAGGATCCAGTCTAGCTGGGAGTCGTGGACGAACGTATAGTTTCCAAGTGCAAGAGTCCTCAGTCGGGGGAAGTGTACACCACGGAGATCGAGTTTTGGGTAGTAGCCAAAGTAATGGCTAGAGTAAATGGTGAGGTGTTCTAAATTCTGGAGAGCAGGCCTCAGCCAGAGGGACGGTAGTGCGGAAAAGAAAGTGTGGATTTCGTCGTGCTATTGGTAGCAGGTTAGCTTGTAAGTAATTGGCGTTGAGAAACAAATACAAACATATAAGTCATTCTCTGAGTTTCCTGAATTGTATGGATTGGTGATATTCAGACGGAGCGAACGTAAATTCCGTAAAGCCTTCTCAGTTTTCTGCATCTCATCTGGGCTGCTCCCGTACACATTGTGCAAGTCTCGAATGGCGAGTTCTCGTGGCAGCTGAGGAAGCGCTGTAATCGCCGACAGGAACTCTTTCATCACGGCTGAGCGGAGTCCAGGTGGGTGAGGAACGTCTGGATCTTCATCCTCACCACACTCGGGGTGAAAGCGAAGGACAACGCTCTGGAGTCGTGGAAGCTCCTTAAGACGAGGAAACAGCCTCACGAATTTACGAAATTCCTTCTCCTTGGGGTCATCCCGGGTCTCATCATTGTACCTATCAAAGACATAAAGCTGGGTGCAGGCGTTAGTTTCTGTGCCTCTAAACTAAAAATTTAATAAAAATAAAAAGAGAGGGTATCTAACACCTTCAAACTTACTCAGGTCGAGATAAACTTTCGTCACTAATTGTAAACTGTCACAATCCTCATTTTCAAGATAGTCAATAAATCTATCGCAGCTCTTCTCTGTTGCGTAAATAGTAATGGATTCAAACAGGCGCTCTTTGCCGATCTCGCCGAGGGATCGACATGCCTGCCGCAGCGCTTTGAGTGACTCCGGATCTGCGCAGCGGACGATCTGGTGGAGAATCTCAGTAGGAAGTGATGTGAGGCTCTGCATTGCGAAGTATACAGAGTATGCCGTGCAGTAGACGGAAGGAATCGCAAGCCAGATCTACCTCACTTATAGCTTTCGAGGCCCACAGGGAACAAGGCACCCTGCAGTCTGCCTGGTACCTGATTTGGCACTAAGGCGTTAGTATGAATCTAGCGAGTAGCCTCCCAAGGCACCAGAAGTGCTCGTCCATAGTAAGAATGCCCGACATTGAATGTACCGTTACTTCGTTATATTCCATTGAATATATCAAAGTAGTGTCGTCATTGCAGAACATGTATCTGGCGTGTTCTGCCCTTAAAATTTGCATCAATACACGGCGAACTTGAAGCTATGCGGACTTAGTTTATCCTTTCATTTACGGAGAAATTAAGTGGGGGACAATACTGTTGCCTTATTCCCAAGGTGTCAGTTCCCCGATAAGATAACGCCGGCAAAACATCGGTCCGATCGACATTTTCAACAGCCATGGAAATGAAAAGCCGACAGCGTCCAAGCAACAGCCGCCTGCTAATGATTTAATGATTGTGAAATACCTTGTTTAATCGCATTTTTCTCCTCTATATACCCCCATTCCGTACCTCTATTAATTAACCTCCCACAAAATGGGTGTCCAAAAGAAAACCCGCAAGTTTGCCCAGGTACGCAATTCCAACCGCCTTATCAAACCACCAGAGAATCACAAAAACTAATACAAGACATTAATTCAGGTCAAACGGGCGATCAAAAAGCACGACGATCGCGCCAAGAAAGACAACAATGCCCCGAAACAAGACAAGGCCAAAGGCGACGAGGTAGTCCGGGCGATTCCCCAAGCTCCGTCCAACATGTTCTTCGCCGCCAACACGGCCCTCGGACCTCCCTACCATGTGCTGGTGGATACCAACTTTGTCTCCCACTCTATTCGCGCGAAGACGGATATGTTGAAGTCGATGATGGATCTGTGAGTCGAGGTGCTCCTGAGTGGTGAGGTGGCGATAGCTGATTGTCGACAGGTTATATGCCAAGTGTATCCCCACATTTACGGATTGTACTATTGCGGAATTGGAGAAACTGGGCGATAAGTTCCGGTTGGCGTTGAGGGTGGCTAAGGATCCGCGATGGGCGCGCGTGCGGTGTGACCATCCCGGAACTTATGCTGATGACTGTTTGGTTGATCGGGTGAGTTTTTGAGAGATCGGAAGATTTTTGAGATGGCATGGTCTAACTGGGTCGAAGATCCAAAAACACAGAATCTACATCGTGGCGACGAACGATAAGGACCTGGTTCGCCGAATTCGCAAGATTCCCGGTGTGCCGATTATGAAGGTCGCCAGAGCGAAATACGTGATTGAGAGGCTGCCTGACCACTTTGAGTGAGCGTGTGCAAGGTTATAGAAGATCTCGTGTTGACAACTACGGAATCCACATCTGATGGGGGCGGTTGGACAAGAACATTGCAGATCCGACCCCAATACTGCGATACCGGCAGATCCTTATCGGAGGAATCCCTCATCAATCCATCACCGCTGCGGACTCGCTTGGATTCTCTGCGGAGGAGCGGTTTCAGGACACAGCTACGGAGGACACTAGATTGTAACTAGCAAGGGCTGTATACGACTTCAATGATAATAACTTGATACCATTGGTATATCAAGAGTGGAGATGGTATAGATAAGCAAGAAAGATGACTCAACTGCGGCATTTTCCCTGGGATCTAGACTGGCTTTAAACATAAAATAAATACCCCATAAAGTTACATGCGGGGTCAGCCTTACCCTTCGTCCATGACCCCCATTTATATACAACCTCAATTGACAGTACAATTTGATCCAGCTCACCAAACAAGTCTTAAACCAAAAATGCCCGAGAAGGAAACAATCGTAGTCATCGGGTACGTCATCCCACCATTACATCCCCAACCATAAAAGCCAACCTCACACAGCTAACCCCAAACAAAAAGCGCCGGAGTAATCGGCCTCACAACCGCCCTACGCATCCAAGAAACTCTGAACCGCAACCAATCCATCCAGCTCATAGCCCGCGACTTCCCCAACACCACATCCCTAAACTACGCCTCCCCCTGGGCCGGCGCACACTACCGCCCCGTCCCGGGTTCAACATCACAAGCCCTCCGCGAAGAAACCCAAGCCAAACAAACCTACACCTACCTCAAAGACCTAGCAAAAAGCGACCCTTCGTCAGGCGTCGCAATTGTAGAAGGAATCGAGCACCTCGAGAACCCACCGGCCGAATATCTCGACGAAAAGAGCATCCGAGAATGTTACGGCCATCTGGACGGGTTTAGGGTCCTGGGCAAGGACGAATATCCCGAGGATGTGAAATGGGGAGCTCGATATGAGACTGTCGTGATTAATTCGCCGGTGTATTGTGCGTATCTATTAAGAAGGTTTGTGTTGGGTGGGG